GGGTCAATGTTATATCACGGAGAAACCTAATCACACCTTCGGATATGTGGCTTTGTACATTTCTAAAATTCGAAGATTTTTTCAATACATTTCATAAAAGAAGACATAGTTCAGTTTGGGATCTTAACACTGAAGTTCGAGCAATAACTCCTTTGGCTAAGTTTTTAAACCAAAAATATCCCTCAATTCCTCTCAAAGTAACTAAGTACTACGTGAAAGTCAGAACTAAGATAAGAATTTCCTCCATCAACAAGAAAATCTTACTGGCTAGACGTGAGAAAAGAGCAAACGCATTTATAAATTCGTCGGTTGTAACTCCAGAAGATGATGAACAAGATTTTGAAATAGAACACGAGTTGGAATTAGCTGAAGAAATGCGTTGCATCATAAACAGCGATTTGGATGAAGTTGAAGGATGTATAGAATTAGAAAGTGTTGAAGATGAGCCGGAATGGGAACTTCTCGACATTTAGTAAATTTTTAATTTGTATCATTATTAAGGATTAAGAGAAATTCACTAGTTTTGTTATGCATGTACATATGTACCTATATGCAAATTGTCAATTAAAATAATTGCTATATATAAAGTAATTATGCTTGAAATAGGAATGTGAATTTGAAGTACTGTTACGCTTTATATGTTTGCACAAAAATTCAGCTTCAAAAACGGTATCCAAAATTATTCGTTTGCATTTTAGTATGGATTTGAGTGATTTTATAAAATAGTTTCAATTTTTCAAAGATTAGCAAATTTTACCAAAAATTTTACCAAAAATTTTACCAAATACTTTTTGCATATATATTTAATCATGCGTAATAATAAAAAATATGGTTCATTTTGATTAATTTTAAAATAAACTAAACCAAAATAATAATTCCCCACATGCCCCCACTCACCCCCCCCCCTAACCCCCCACGACCAAAGCCACAAGAGGGGCTAGGGCCAGGACCTTCAGCTGCGTCCGCCAGGGATCGAACTGGCATCACTCGCTGAGTAGTTATCCCGCACATTGGCGTAACTCTACATGGTCCTGTCCAACCAGAAGGGCACCTAATCCTTGCATTTATTTAATAAATGCATGATTATTATGTGCAATAGTATGCATATATTATTAAGTATGTATATGGAACAGTATTTATGTAGCATTAATATTACAAAAATCCAGCATCAAAAACGGTACCCAAAAAGTATGTGTGTGAATTTTATGATAAATTTGAGCATTTTATCATTCTTGACAACCAAGCTTTCCCAGCAAAAATAATGCATATTCTCAAACTTTAAAATCTGTAAAAAAAAATTTTGAGAATTTTTGAACTGACATGACCCTGTCTAGAATTTCTCCAAGGATACAGTAAATGGACCCTGGTTGCAACTAATAGAAAAATAAGAATTGAGATTGAAAACATTTTTATCTGGAGCGACCCTGTGAAGCGACCCATACTGATTTTTCAAATTCATTAAATCGAGCAGAAATTTGGCAGAGAAATTTGTAATGGTTCGTAATGGAACAATTTGAATTAAAATCGGAAAAATTTTCAACTTGCTACTGGGTGACCCATACTGATTTGTTTTAATCGTTACGTTCTCGAACCGCAATTTGCTACACATGCTGCCAATCGCTACTAATGTAAGAATGTTAATTTAAATTAGGACCATTAGTTTTTATTTTAAAAATGTTGAAATGCATTTATGATAAAATTTCCTTCAAAAATTCGATTGGGTGATAATTACTTCCTTTTCCTAACTCGGGCTATATCAAGTATAATCTTTTAATGTCGGAGTTAAAAAATTGTTCACTTAAAAACCCTAAAATAAATAAATTAAAAAAAATAAAACTAAGGCGAGAGGCGCTATTACAAACACGAAACAAGCCCTCCCACCAACACCCCCGTCTCGCCGTGGCCCCATTAATATTTTTATATCTGGGGGGTGATATTTAAAAAACCATGTGACAAAACGTGTGATAAAATCAGCAGCATTAAACTAAATGATGGCATTGAAATTGAAAGGGTTGTTAGCTTTAAGTACCTTGGTGTTATTTTAGATCCTCACATGTCCTTTAATTTACACTATGACCATGTTGTAAAAAAAGTAGCAAGTAATCTCAAATTTATGTACGGTATAAGACGCAACCTTAACGACCATGTGATGAGAATAATGCTAAACGCGTATGTACACTCAGCAATAGACTATGCATTAGAAATCTGGGCAGTCCAACCACAACAGAAATTGAAATCACTGCAAAACAAAATCGACAGATTCCTAATTGGTTATTTCTATCCGATAATTGTAAGGAAAAGTAAGAAAAAAGGTAGAATTAAACTAAGTAATATTGATGCGAATGTAATCAGAGCGAAATGCAAATTCCTGACTGTCTCTGAAAGACGCGACTTTGTTACATTAAAGGGTGCATATAAAGACTACAAAAGAAACAAGCTATCTTTATCACAAAGAACAATAACAAATTGTAAACCCTTAATAACCAGCCATAATGTAAAAGCTGAAATTTACAAGAAATCAATAGATTATAGAACTAAAATATTATGGAATGATCTACCGAGATCGCTCAATATCTCCGAAATGAACTTCACTACTTTTAAAGAAGAAATAATGGAAATCATTGTACAGAAAAGAACTGAAGAATTTTTATACTATTAACTAGTTAAGCAATAATTAGTAATATAGAATAGTTAAATATTATATGACCAGTGTGTCACCAGTGGTAGACCATTGTTGTTGTACTTGTACGATAAATGCAATGAATTGGGAAAGACACAGTAATAAAGATATACATACATACATGTTTGACACGCAATTTCAACATGCTGACACGGACAGAGGATGGAGCCGTCCTCCGTTTGCGTGGGGGTGCAAGGTGGGATCAGGTTCCGCTCGATTTTTGGGACCACGTGGTTTGGCAGCATTCTACTAAAAAGCCTTCTGGACGTCCTCTCCCCGGAAAAGGTTGACCCACATCCGGAGTGGGTTTCCTTCTGGCGATAAAATGGGGACGGATTTTCGGGCGTTTTTTGCTGGTTTTGTTGATATTGAGCCCCATGGATCCCATAAGCTAGGCGGACGGGGCGTTGGTGTGGTCCCATTGGTTTGGCGGGGGCACTTTTGGGCGATGGAGGGGGTCGACTTCTTCCTTGACCTGAGAAATGCATTTTAGATAATATTCCATGCAAAAAAGTCGAAGGATAACCACAACTTGGCCTGACTCAGACTATATATCAAGTTTGCACTGTAGGTTTTTTAGAGTGAGTGACCAAGGGTCGTCAAAAATACGTCAAAAATTGAAAGTATTTTAATGAGTAGATCATTTATACATAAAAACTGGCAACTTTCATACTCAAAATTTTTCTGGAAAAATCAAAATATGCGTAAAAAGGCGAGAAAAAAATGCGATTCTTTTCCATATTTTGAGTATTATCTATATACATAACAAATTCCCAACTTTCAGACTCGAAAGTTTTCAGGAAAAATCAAAATATGTAATAAGGAATCGCATTTTTCTCTTTTTCCGCATATTTTGATTTTTCCTGAAAAATTTAGGGTATACAAGTTGGATTTTTTATGTAGGAATCATCTACTCATTATAATACTCAAAATATGGAAAAGAATCGCATTTTTTCTCATTTTTTCCACACATTTTAATTTTTTCTGTAAAATTTTGAGTGTGAAAGTTGCCAATTTTTATGAAGAAATGTTCTACTCATTATAACACCTTCAATTTGATGAATATGGGTCCACCCTTGCTCATTCACAGGGTACCGTACGTACCGTATAATACGGTACGTAGGTCGTTACATTTAGCGGTACACCCCTAACCTTGATTATTATCGACCCTTGACCTCGGCGAGGCCAAACTTGACCCCTCCCTCGTACCCCACCTCGACACGGGACTCGTCCCCGGGAAGAACCACATCTCGGATTCGGACTAGCATCTCGCGACATGCAGCTCACCGGAGTCCCAGTATCTCAACGATTTCTCGAAATCGGAACCCTGTGCAGATTTCATCGTGGGAATTTTCGACTTTTTCGAGGCACAGAAACTTTTAGATTTTTGAAATGTTTCCGAATTTTCCGTCCCCGTCATTATCCCGGGACGTCGGGAGGATGAAATATTCGTGGATTCGAGCAGTTGGGACAGAACGGAGCCTGGTCGGACGAGAAAGATGGGTTGGTCGACAAACGTGGGGAGTAAGGTTCGACTGCTGGTCGCCATTTTATTTACTTATTTATAAAAAGCGAGGGGGGGATTTATGTTTTCAGAACATGTATGTAAATAAACTTTAGCAACCCACACGGGCCAACACAAGATTAATTGACATCGTTTCTATGGGGTGGTGCCATACTAACAAGACGTGATCTCCCAATGGGCACGTTTGGCAAAGATGTTGGCATCCAAAGAGGAGAAAATGCGCAGAAAAGTTGACAAATTTCACACTTTCGGATGAAAATATTTAAAAATGAGTATTGTATTTAACACATATCTTTTTTACTTGATTGGTATCAAAGCCTTACATTTTTAAGAAATTTTGAAGTTGAAAAATTTGTGAAATTTCCTGCGCGTTTTCTCCTCTTCAGATTCCAAAGTCGCCCATTAGAAGATAAATGATGTCTATAAATAAAAGATGTCTTTAAATAAATTTAAATTGTACGAAATTTGCACGATCTTGCTTTGGCGGATATATTTGCACCGGAAGAGGAGAAAACGGGTTCTAAAGTCGACAAATCTTACACTTTCCAAATTTACTGGGCGTTTTCTCCTCTTCGGATGCAAATATTTCTGCCAAACGTGCCCTTTGGGAGATCGTGTCTTTCGCAAATTTCATACTAATTAAATTTGTGACCGATTGACACCAATTTTCTCAAAATCGGGGAGCATACGCTGGAAGACTTGCATTAAATTTCGGAAATTTTCGTACAAATAAAATCCGAGGAGTCGAAATTGCACACATTCATAAATTTATATTCTGATATTGCTGCTCAATTTATTATCGTCATCTCCACCAGCAAATTATGAAACTTCGACACTCAATTAATTTTGCGAATTTTTTGTCACAAGTATTTCAAATCGTTTGGACTAAAATTGTATTTGGAGCAGTTTCGATAATGTGGCTCCGAGCTTCAACTCTTCGTCAAATTTTACCTTCTCCAACGACACGTTTCCCAAGAAGAGCGCCTCATTCGCCAAAAAGTTGGAAGTGAATTGGAGGTGCGGCGGCTGGCGGTCGTCGTTCATTACCTGTAATAAACAGAGAGCAGCTCATGTATTTAAGAAAAATCGCTATTTAATATTTACAAAGCATGTCCCGCAAAAATAAAGATTTTCCCGAAATTTGTATTTCCATTTTTTGTAGTCTAAATGAAAAATTTGCCTCACATCGCTCAAATATATGCAAATTATATGCATTTTTGAAAAAAATATGATAAATATTTCCGTAATTTCTAAAATTTAACGCTCTGGATTCTTTGTGGTTTATTTCTTTGAACAAGAAATGTTGTCTCGCGTCGTTGCTATTTTTACAAAATGTATACGTATTTGTGAAAAAATATGTAAAAGATTTCTGAATTTTGGAAATATTTAAAGGAGGAGATCTCAAGTTTAAGAAGCCTTCAGAAAAATTGGAACTCATCGAAACAGGCTTAAAAAGTCTCCGGCATTCCATTAATCAACTCACTGACTATAAATTTGTCGTTCAGAATTTTAAAATAAGTTCCCAGAGGGGAGAAATGATTAAAAATGTGTTGATTTTGACGATTTTTGTGACCATTCTCAAGTTAACTCACATTGTTTTCTTGCTGTATGTTATCCCACTGGTTCATATCGATGAGGGGAGTCTCCGGCTTTACGTCAACGAGGAGCGTAGTCATTCCGGGAAACCTATTGACAAAACGGTGGACGGACCCATTCTCGGGAAGCGTGGCTCGCATCTGGCGCATGTAGATATGAACATTTCGGACCTTTTTGAGTAAAAAAAAATGAGATTGGAATTTGTTTTAACCACCATTTCCGGTCGGGATTATATACGGAGTTTTTTTACATACTTGAGGATAAAGAGTGAGGTAGGAAATCTTCTGAGACACTGGAATGGTGGAGATTCCGTGCTGAACGGATAGCTTGAAAGTCCGGAGGCTAAAAAATTTGGAAATTTCAGAATTTTTGACTAAAAATGGGAGCATGTTCGAGTAAAAATTGCATTATTCTCAATCGAAAAGACCAATTTTCGGCGGCGGCGGCAATTTTTGGTGACTTTTCGGCCGCGTCGAAGCGGCGTATAGCGCAGAGTCGCAATAATGTTGAACGAATAGGAAATCAAATTTATTGGAGGGGGCGGCGTGCGATCTGCTTCATTTCAATTTATAAATTTGCATATTCTACATTTGCATACATACTTTTTCATTTCCACATTGGGAACGTGGTCCCAGTCCTGTAGGCTGAGTGATTGAATCTGGTTCATTCCTCCAGCCTCGTTCAGCGCGTCTTGAAAATGCTCCCAATCCTCCAACAAATCTGCTGCGGTCCGAGTGTCGGCTTTGGGCGCGAGAAAGATGAGATCACGTAGGTTACCGCACATCCTGATAAGCACGGCCAGATGTCGAGGTTGAGACATCTGGACCACTAACGTGGTCAGCTTTATGGGGGTCATGTTCACGGTCAGCGAGAAAGGAGGTCGGACTGGAGTAAATGCCAAGGTTTGACGGAAGGCGGCCAGCTATCCAGAAAAAATAAATTTGTGCAATTTATTTTGTCGCAAATTTTCAGAGGTGAGCAAAATTCTTTGCCAAATAGGGTACTGTTCCTCCCAGGGTTTGCATTTCCGGTACAAAAACACGAAAATCAACGTGGAGAAGGCAAAAGTCGTACGAAAATAAAGGTTTTCTGAAGAAATTAACCTTTTATCGGTGTCAAACTCAAGATACATTGTTTTCACGATTTTTCAAAAAATATTTAACCTGATTTTTTGGAGGTGTAATAACCCCTCAAAATCCAAACCCTGTCAAGAACTCAGCTCAAAATGCTCTATTTTATCCAAATATTTTGCCAACCTCTTTAAAAAATCGGTACAAAAATTAACCCCCACCTGTCCTTGATGCTGACCTGGCTGTCCTGTCGCCACAAATTCGCCTTTATATGGGAGGAATGCAAAATCCTTCAGATTCCGACACGTCTGCAGGATCGCTTTAACATCGTCAAACATCTCGAAGTCATCCTGTCGCCCAGCCGTCCGATGAAATTCGACCCCCTTAACGTACCCCCCGTAACGCTCGAGAAAAACTTGGAACCTTGGCGGTGCCCGGGCATCCGTCTTGCTGCGCATGCAGGCCGTCGAAATGACAAGGGTTGCGTAGTCGGCGGGGAGCAGAAGGCGCGGCGTGGTCGTCCCCGCGAGCAGCTTGTTGAGCCGGCCGATCGTCTGTTTTCCATCGGCTTCCCGCTCGAATTTGAGGGCGGCTTTTTGGTTCCCGCCATTCCGTCGGGACAGAATCACGCCCCCCGCGGCGGTTCAGGATTTACAGACACGGCGATTTATTCGGACGTTGTAGTCAGGGAAGTTAGCGAGGATACATTAGGCGACTATGTAGTTATCGGCGAAGGAGTGAAATTGCAAGGGAAGGAGGTCATTCACCTGGGCAGGGTCGTCGTCACCTTGTCCAAGGGGGAGGAGGTCATCCTGAGTCAGGTTTTCGCCATAAAAATGATCCCCAGACTTTTCGTCTCCTTCGGCGTCGTTCATGTCGCCATCGTACTCGTCGTTCATGTCCATGTCATCTCCTTCGTTGTCAGGAAAAAGGTCGTCATCACCCGCAGCAGGAGGAGGAGGATTGTCCATCGTATCGCCGAATTTAGTTTGAGTAGCTTTGTCGTCGGTTTACTGCGGAGAGATGTGCAAGTTTTTGAGGAACGTTCTTTTTTTTCTCCGCCTTGTCTGCTTTTTCGAATTTTGTGAGAACGGATCGTAGCGAAGGGAACGCATGAATATAATTTTGGCGAAATATTTCGTGCCAAAATTGGCAATTACATGCGTAACAACACTCATCTTGCAGTATGCAATTTGTGTATGTATGTATCAAAAATGATAATAAGTTATTATCATTTTGTTATTATTACGGAAAGATGGATCGATGGATGAAAGAAAATAAATTAGAATTTATTATTTAACTTTTTATCACAGTTAAAATGTATATTTTCTACGAGTTTAAAAAAAGAAGGTATTTATTTTGGCACGGATAAAAGTTAATTTCTTCAGAAAACCCGTATTTTCCTACGACTATTGTAGATTTTCGTCTTTTTGTGAATGTAACGATTGACGGTCAGTTTGGCGAAAGCTAGTTTGGCGAAATTTTTTTTTCGCCAATGTGGTAAAAAATTGTCATGAAAGTACTAAATGGCGAAATTATTGTTCACATTTGGCGAAAGTGAAAAACTCGTAAAAGCACATTTGGCGAAATTCGAATTTCGCATTTATTTATGTCAAATCGCTCAAATTACAATTAATTCATATATTGTAAAATAAAACAAAATTAAGACTTGTAGTCTGGAGTGCTTCTCACTAGCTTCGATAAAACCAATTAACAAATTTTTCATAACTCGACTGGGTCCTGTACTTGCTCATAACTTCTCGAACGAAGTGATTTAATTTCCTTTATTTTTTCCCATTTTGTTAATCTCTGTAATTGGCATGATAAGCAAGTAGTTTAGGAATTCTGGGCAAATGGTAATTTTATTGAATTACCTCAAGGTTTGCTTCAGTTGTGAAAATAAAGATTCCCTTCTCTTTGTTTTCTTTCATCAAAAACTGGCCTCCCCGGAGGGTTGAATGAACGCAATAGCGGGGGCAGATCCAACTCTGCAAAGGATGAGGGATCCTTAAGCCGTAAGGAACTCATTCTGTTGCGATTAATCATTCTTCGGATAACATCGTCAGCCGGACAAACAGATTGGGCCAATGATGATTCGGTTGAGATGGTCTTATCCAAAATGTTTTGGGCATTATTAGAGTACCGATTATATTAAGATTCTTATCGTATTATCTGCAAAATATTTTCATGCAATACGATTTCACAAAATTCTCGTTTTCGCCAAATGCGACATTATTTTCGCCAAAAGGTACTTTAAGTAAAATAAAACTAACGTACGGTGAAATGCATGAAATTTGTTTTTCGCCAAATAGGATTATTTTTTGGCGAAAGTTTTTCGCCAAAAGGGTTTTCGCCAAATTGACCGATTACCAATGTAACATCCCCGGAAATCCAAATCCTGGGAAGAACATTGCTCAAAATTCTTTATTTTGCCCACTTCTCATATTTAGTATTTTATTTAAGGAAATATTTCATTTTTTTCATGCACGCATAAATACATTACATACATAAAAATAAAGCCGTATGAAAACACGCCAACTTTCTCGTCTCAACAGGAAAGCATGCACGAACATGAATTTCCACTTTCTACTTTTACCTTGGAAAAGGAAATAATACGCATTTACATACATACCCTGTACTACCCGGGTCGGGTAAGTCGGAGAAAATAGTAGCAAACGGATATCCAAAACATGCTGGTCGACAACCTGCTGGTCTGGTGAAAAGGCGTATTGCTCAGCCGCAAGGCAAGTGCTGGTGGTCTGGTCTGGACAAGATGAACACAATTTTCTCCAGAACGTGGATGGATTGGCTACTACTTTCTCTATAGGTTATTATATCATCCATCCATCCTCCCACTTATTTAGTTGGGGAGAAAATTCCATATTTCACATATGGTGACAAACCTATATAGCTAGTCGAACTTTCTCCTTGTAATTGGCTTCACGGAGACAGAAGGAAGCCTTTAAAACTAATATTTTGATGTGTCAACTTATTTATTTACGATAAATACTAATTTTTCGAAATTTTGTGCCTAAATTGATCTCAATGTGGTGAATCTATTTAATTTACGTAACATGGTGAAACCCCTATAAATAGTTGTGCGTCGAACTTTCTCCACATAATTGGCTTCACGGAAAGAGACAGAAGCCTTTATAAATACAAAACTATATTAAATATTCGCATTTATCAACTTATTTATTTACGATTCCAGATTTTTGCAACTTTTGTAAGTACTTCCGATTTAATTAAATTAATGCAAGTGTGGTGGTAAACTTACAATGGAACCTTTTTTCAAGCTACACGAGATAAGCTTAGTGACTTATGCTAAAAAATCAAGCTAAAAATTAGAAATGACGTGGTACTTATCTTTCCGTTGAATGGGCACTTGGAGGTCAAATACTTGAGGGCAAAGTTCACAGTAGCGGCCTGTTTTTTTTTCAAGCGGGCGAGCGAAAGAGTGAAAATTTTCTCCTTCGAGGTCACTCCGCTCCCTTCACTCTCGCACGCTCGCACTTCATTCAATGCATATTAGTTTTGACAAAATTTCAATCGCGTAAATTGATGCATACATTCATATAATTTTATATTTCATCATCATCATCATCCATCATCACTTTTTTTATTACGGATCGGTGGATAGTAGGATTTTTAAAACCAAATATAAAATTATATGAATGTATGAAGCAATTTACGAGATTGTGAAATTTTGTCAAAAATAATATGCATTGAATGAAGTGCGAGCGTGCGAGAGTGAAGGGAGCGGAGTGACCTCGAAGGAGAAAATTTTCACTCCTCCGCTCGCCCGCTTGAAAAAAAAACAGGCCGCTACTGTGAACTTTGCCCTCAAGTATTTGACCTCCAAGTGCCCATTCAACGGGAAGATAAGTTCCACGTCATTTCTAATTTTTAGCTTGATTTTTTAGCATAAGTCACTAAGCTTATCTCGTGTAGCTTGAAAAAAGGTTCCATTGTTAGTTAATTTATGTTGCGTCGAACTTTCTCCACATAATTGGCTTCACGTAGACAAAAAGGAAGCCTTTAAAACTAATATTTTGATGTGTCAATTTATTTATTTACGATAAATACAGATTTTTGGAAATTTTGTGCCTAAATTGATCTCAATGTGGTGTGGTGAACATACATAAACTTTTTAATTTACACGAGTGAATTTATTACTTTCTCCATATAATTGGCTTCACGTAGAGAAAAAGGAAGCCTTTAAAACTTATATTGTCATTTGTCCAAGTATTTATTTACGATAAATACAAACTTTTGTGCCTCTCATTTAATTAAATTTGTGCATATGCACAAGTGTGGCGAACTTATTTAATTCATGGTGCGTCGAACTCGTACTTGATTGCTTTCACTTCAAGCGACGTCTTTATAAATAATAAAACAATTTAACATTTTCATTTGCCAAATTAAATATGTGTTTACGATACAAATTCTTGTCGCAACTTTTGTGTCTTTCATTGAATTAAATTGATCGGTGAACCTATTTTCTAATTTACATGACGAACTTTCTCCTCATAATTGAATCGACAGACGGAAGCCTTTAAAACAAATGTTTTGATTTGTCAACTTATTTATTTACGATTTTCTCAATTAATCGAGTGAACGTATTTGCATAATTTGCATAAGCGGATTTATTCATTATCATGTTAAATGAATGTACTTTTGTGGTTTGGTTTGTCGGTTGCTGGATAAATTAAGTAGTCGTTGCGAGTTCAATTTGCAGCTGTGTGTTTGTTGGGAGGATTTTGTATTATGTGAAAAAAAATTGACACTATTTAAATATTTACGAATAAGTGTTCGAAAACGGGATGGATTTCGCCAAGAATTTATTTCAAGCAAGTACCAACGATCGGAAGGGCTACGTTGGGAGAGATACTGCTATTGTAAGTTTTATTTATCTATAAATAATATACGAGCAGTGGCCGCGGAAGCCGGGGGGACATTAACATTGTAGGATAGAGGGGGAGAGGGGTTCGTATGAGATGAATGGGGACATCGAGCAACCGTGGGGACATACGTCCGAATGCTTCCGCGGCCAATGCATACGTATTTACAAATTATGAATAGGTTGAAAGTCGATCCGTAAATATTGACGGGCACGAATTAATATTAAATGCTGTTAAATAGAACTATATCAATTTCTCTTCGTTAATAATATTTCATGGAATATTACAATGCGATGGTGTGAAGTGTAACCCTCCGATTTGGCCGAAATTTTGAAATTATGTGATCCAAGTCAATACAAACACCGCTTCTTGAGACAGTTTGTGCGATGGTCAGAATTTTTCAACATATTTGAGGTCGAAGTTGAAAAAAATGAGTGATTCTTACCAAGCGGGGGAAGCAACCCCACTCCCTTGCCATTCAAAGGGAAAAATTTTCAACTTTGACATTTATTAAATATTTTGATAAATTCCCACCATCGCAAAAACTGCCTGCCTCAAGAAACGTTGTTTGTATTGACGTGGACCACATAATTTTAAAATTCCGGCCAAATCAGAGGGTTACACTTCACACCATCGCATTGTTAGTATTTTAAGATGAGACGAGTATCTACGTATGTATGCAAAATTACGTTACGTTAAAATTAGTACGTATGACTTGAAATATGTACATATTTAAATGGATGTTTGAGAACGCAGTAGCATTATTTTATTATGTGTTGTACAGATAATTCAGTGGCCCCCGGAAGCTGTGGGGACACTAACATTATAGGCTAGGGGAGGGAAGGGAGTGGTTTATATAAGATGAGGAGATGATGCGGACATCGAACAACCGTGGGGACATTGTCCCTCTGTCCCCACGCACGCTTCCGCGGCCACTGCTCGTATTGCCAGACCACAATACAATCTGGCTCCTGCTACATAATAATAAACAGTAATTGCACAAGTGTTTTGGGCAGATGGAACATATTTATATGATGATTCAATAGTTTCGTATATCTAAATGATGCTGATTCTCTTCCCTTCTTGACCAATGGTTCTGGATTATGTGTAATAAATAGAGTTGTCTGAAATCTAGAATGTTTTTTTAAAGTGAAAATTCCTAAAAAAATCCGGTCCCAATAAAATAACGAAAAATATACATAGTAGAAAATTCTGAATTACAACAAATTATCGGGTAGAAACAGTTATTTTAGTTATGAAATGCATCGATTACAGAGATTTAGAATAATTCTTAATAAACACTCCCAATAAAATAACAAAAAATATACATATTTAGTAGAAAATTACCAATGAAATTCCAAATTTCAATAAATTATTGGATATAGACAGCTTTGAAAGAGTGATTTTAGGTACGAAATTTTCATTTTGCATGAAATCGATACATTTACGAAATGCATCGATTTCATAGAAATTTACAATTTCAGTAAAAGGCAAATTACTCATTAGTTTTCAAAATTGTATTTTTTCGATTTCAATAATTTCAAAATAAAAATTTCAATAATTCACTACATATTTTACGTAGAAACTCGCCCTCGTCGAGTCGGCGAGTGATGACCCCGAAAACGACGGGGACGACGACGACACCGAGCTATTCGTAGGGTCAAACTCGGAACGGAGTGGGTTGTGCCAAGCCATGACGCCCAAACCGGGTGTGCCCTTCAGTGCGGTGACCCCTTCCATGTGGCCGCCCGACTTGTCCGACGAGGACTGCGGGTATGACGAGCTGGGATTTCGCATCGAGGAGGAAGACGGACCGGAACAAAGTTCCAAAAAGTTGCTGGGCATCCCGTTCACGGAAGATCCCAGCGTCAGGTATGTAGTTGCATTTATGAGCAGAGGGCGGATATGTATTTACGAAAAGAAACGCCAAAATTTTCACGAAATATGTAAACGGAACAACATAAAAAATTAGAATTTTCACGAAATTTCAATTTTTGAATTTAATACACTGGATTTAATAATTGTGGTAAAAAATTTTTAATAAAAAAACTTTCAATATTTCTAAAATATGTGTATAATTTTGAAGAAATACCTACATACATATTGACGTAAAGAGCGTCATATAGATATTTACGAAATAAGTGCAAAAGTCATAAAAATAAGAATTCTCGCAAAATGTGTATTTATTAAATGAATCCTCTGGACTTTTTGTCGTCATCAAATGAAAAAGTTGAATATAAATTCATATCCATCCGCTTATGAATAGAAAACTGTGCAAAAATTTTGTTGATTTCATACCCTACTTTTTTCACCTAGATTGCAGTGGTTGGCATACCTGGAATTTTCTCACAGTCGGGAAGAAGTCCACGAATTGTCGTGGGACTCAATCCCAGAAAAGTTACCGCTCACGGAAAAACTTTGGGAGATGATGACCACCCATGCCGGCATTCCGCACTCGCTCCGACCTCAAATGTATGTACACATTAAGATACAGACAATATACAAAATTCGGAATTCGGATAGTTTGGCGAAAAAAAAAGTTCGCGAAAAGTAAATGAAAATCCTACTTGGCTAACAAAAATTTCAGCCCTTCTATGGCACAAGATTTTTAAAGTATTGTTTGGTTTCACATTTTAACATTTTGAAAAATGTCCCAGTTTGCGAAAAAATGCCAAATTTAGTGAAAACTGGCGATTATGCCATTATTAGTCATTCAATGCTATTACATAGTTAGGTACCTGACATTTCATGCAAAATTTATATTTATTTCGCCAAAGTTTTCTATGTTCGCCAAATCTGAAAATAATTTCGCCATTCGGTACTTTCACAGTAGTTTTTTTTACCACCCTAAAATAAATTTTTGCCAAATCCTCTTTGGCCAAACCGTTTCTCAATTTACAAAAATAAATCCGCGACATATTTCATTTAATTTCTAACCCATTAAAATTCCAGGTGGTGCCGTTTAAGTGGCGCCTTCGAAAAGAAATGCAACCCAGCAAACCTTCCGTACTACAAAGTCGTCCGAGAATCCACCCGGAACGAATATTTCTCCTACGCTAAACACATCGAGAAAGATTTGTTCCGCATCTTACCAGGAAACGGGTGCTTCTGTAAATCCGATTCTCCCGGAATCCCACGTCTTCGTCGGGTCCTCCGCTCAATCGCGTGGCTTTACCCGGACGTCGGGTATTGTCAAGGATTTGGCACCGTGGTTGCTCACCTGCTCCTGTTTTTAGAGGAGGAAGACTGCTTTTGGTTGATGTCCACTGTGATTGAAGACATTCTCCCGGCTTCCTATTTTACCTCGGACTTTTTAGGAATTAGGGTCGACGCCCTGGTTTTTGGGCACTTTTTGGCCGCACATTTCCCCGAGGTGGATGCGCTTTTGAAGGAACACGACATTGAGTTGGGGCTCATAGCGTTCACCTGGTTTATGACGTTGTTCGCGTCGGTGGTCCATGTCAAGATATTGTTGAGGATTTGGGACCATTTGTTTGCGGAGGGGAGCATGGTCGTGTTTAAGGTGATGTTGGCCATGGTCAAGTTGAAAGGTGAGGGGGGTAATTTTTTAATTGGCCACATGTTTCGATGTCGTTTTAAGTACTGTCCAAAATAGCAGGCCGAAATCGGTTTTGACCAGTTTTGGACATTGAATTTTAGACGGACAAAATGTCCAAGTGTCCAAAATACAAGGTTTATCAAAATGTTACAAGTTCGTCATTTTTGGATAATCCGTTTACGTCACGTGTATGTAATCTCCCATTAATTTTGAGCATTTTTATGTATATGTAATACTGTGCTATGGTTTAGAAAATTTCATAATTTCTCGAAAGAAAACATGTTAAAACACAAATTTTTCAAAATTTCTTCGTATTACACGCACACTACTTAAAGCACTTAATTAAGGGGAGGTACATATATGTCCATAGATTTACAAAACTCATTAATAAAGAACTTGTAACATTTTGGACATTTTGAACGTCCAAAATTATTTTTTAACAGTTTTGGACACTCTTGCAAATCTATGCATACATGTTCTGCCATTAATTTTAAGCATTTTATGTGTAATGGTTTAGAAAATTTCTTAATTTCAGAAAACATGGTAGACAAAAGTTTTCCAAAATTTCGAAGTATTTTACACATTGTCAAAATTAAAGCATCTGTGCATAGACTTGTAATAATATATAAATCTTTCTAAAATCATTTATCAACGTCCATAATATCCAAACGCGTTCAACATTGGAAAATATATTACAAGTTTTTATGGATTTATGCAGATTTGTAATTTGCTTATTTTGAACGTTTTAGTGTGTAATACGACTAAATTTGGAAATATTTTTTCACATGTTTTCTGACGAGAAATTTTCCAAACTGTGGCGTATTACGCAACAAAACGGGTGAAATTAATGGGATGCAAATTACAAATCTGCATAAATTCATAAAAAAACTTGTAACATTTGGCTTTACTGGACGATGTTTTGGACATTCAAAATTATTTTTGACTGGACACAGATACTGATTGACTACGAGAGATTAAAAAAAAATTGTAAAAGTATGAATTATAAAATTTCAGTGAAAGATCTCCTCCTGCTGAAAAACTCTGCGGAAATTTTCAACTTCCTGTCCGACCTTCCCTCCGAACTGGATGAGTTCGAGTTACTGGAAATCAGCAGTTTTGAAGATGTAAATTCCAACGCGGTGGAGAAGGAGAGGAAAAAATGCTTCTCAAAAGTGGTCAACGATGGGTCAGTTTTCTCCACGAAATGTCGTCAAGTGAAGAAACGCGATGTTCGACGACCACCCAAGAATCCGAGCGGAGTTAGCGTGCTGAAATCAATCTTTGGAGATTTTAAGGGTCATGATGACTTAAAGAGCAAAAATATAAGACAGACTGGTAAGTGGAAAAAATCGTCAAAATCAGCACATTTTTAATTATTTCTCCGCTCTGGAAACTTATTTTAAAATTCTGGACGACAAATTTGTAGTCAGTGCGTTGATTAATAGAATGGCGTTGAGTTTTTTAGGCCAGTTTCGACGAGTTCCAGGTTTTCTGTAGGCTTCTTAAACTTGAGATCTCCTCCTTCAAAAAGTGTCAAAATCTGGGGTGTATATGTCTTAAAAAATTAGGAACGACCAGCTCTACAGATTTGTCGTCCAGAATTTTTAGATATATTTCCGGAGCCGAGAAATGATTAAAAATGTGCTGATTTTGGCAATTTTGGCGGTGCGACATCGAGTCCTAAAAGGAATACAAACTTTCAAAATTTTGATTTTGCACTAATTTTCGTAAATAATTCGTATAAAGAAATTGCGATCGAACTACACGAAGCAATTTTAGCGATAGGACGTCATTTCATGTCGCACGACCAAAATTACATGACGGTATCGCTCGACCCCGATTTTTCCTTGGATTCCCACGCCAAAGATCATCAACGCTTCACTCTTGGGTTCAATAATGGATATAAAAGGGCGAAATCTTTAGTTGGTAATTTTGTATAGTTAAATTTGAAGAAAAATGTATGGATTTTGATTTGCAATTAAATTATTACTTAACAAAAATTACAGATTTTGAAAGAAAAGACGATGACGAGCTTGGTTTCCGTAAAAATGACATAATTACCATCGTCAACTCGAAAGATGAGCATGTGAGTGGGTCGAAAATTAATTTTGATCAGTGACCGCGGAAACCGTGGGCACATTAACATTGCAGGATAGGGAAGGGTTTATATAACATGGGCAGATGATGCGGACATTGAATAATCGTGAGGATATTGTCCCTCTGTCCACAAACTTCCGCGGCCACTGATTTTAATTACAGACAAAAATATAAATATGTACATATAACATGGATTTAATGAAATTGCAGTGTTGGGTTGGTGAATTGAATGGATTGAGGTAAGCAAATTTAGTATTTTATCAAAGTATACTTTGCCCAGTAAATAGGTTATGTGGTGTAAAAATGCCCTATTTACTCAGGATTTAAATTAATGCCTCCAGAATTACAATAAATATAAATTCCAGGACATTTATGCAATTCAAAATTACATAAAATTAGGTTAGATTTCCTGCACATTACTCAACTTTGGATTAATTGTGATTAGTTAATCTGTGGTTATCGAGTATCGAATCGTTCACTAATCGATAACAACAGATTAACTGACCACCACTGATTTAGCTAATCACCCACCATTCGTACTCTTGACCCTCTTATGTAATACTACAGATATGCATAAATATTTGCACAAATATTTGCATATTGCAATCCTTACAATGTAAGGATTTATTTATATATACATATTTATTTTTAACATTGCTTTATTTTTGACTTGCTCAGAGGCTGGTTCCCCGCAAAATGCGTGCAACTCTTGGACGAGCGGTCGAAACAGTACTGCGCCGCGGGGGACGATTCGGTCACTGATGAAATTGCGGATTTAGTCCGTGGCAGGCTATGTCCCGCTTTGAAGCGGATTTTTGAATGCGGGATGCGGAAACCGGGCACCACCGTGGGTCCAATTCATCCCTGGCTTTTTATTGAGGAGGTCGCCCTTAAGGAAATTGAGAAGGATTTCAACTCGGTTTATTCGCGACTTGTTCTCTGCAAGACGTACAGGCTGGATGAGGATGGGAAGGTTTTGAGCCCGGAAGAGGTGCTTAAATTTTTTTTACTTTTTAAATTGACTTCATTTCTGCTAACTTGCGCCATAGTTAAGAAAAAAGTGTAGCATGGGCGCTTGGCGCAAGTTAGTAACGGACAATGGAGGTTTTCCAGCGTACGCTGTCCGATTTTGAACAAATTAGTGTGAATCGGTCACGAATTTAATTAGGATGAAATTTGCGTAAGACACGATCTCCGAATGGGCACGTTTGGCCGAGATGTTTGCATCCGAAGAGGAGAAAACGCGGCTTAAAGTTGACAAATTTTACACTTTCCAAATTTACTGGGCGTTTTATCCTCTTTGGATGCAAATATCTCCGCCCAACGTGCCCATTCAGAGATTGTGCGTTTCCCAAATTTCATACTAATTAAAATTGTGGTCGATTAGCACTAATTTTCTCGAAATCGGGGAGCATACGCTGGGAGACATGGATTGTTCGTTAAATATAAACGTACCTTTTTGATGGACATGATTCTGTCATCAATAATAATTTGTCCACATTTTTCCTTGTATAGCTTCTGTACAGATCTGTAGAATTGGTGAATAGGTAAGAATTTGCATATTTAATAATAAGTAAAACAATATTTTGAGGTGTATGTGCAAAAATGTCGTGTTTTTTTAGATCTCACGAAAAGGTGCAGATGGATGTCAAAATGCGATCTTTAATCTGTCTTGGAATCAACGAGCAAGTTTTGCACCTCTGGATAGAAATATTTTGCTCATGCAGCGACGTCATAACAAAATGGTACGTTAACAAGGGGGCGAGGCAAAATGAGACGACGATTTTATTACCATTATCGTGTCTCATTTTGTCGTCGTGCGGTAAGATGAGACACGATGGCAATATACATAGTCTCACTTTGCCTCCTTACACTTCTCCACTTACACAAAATAGTATGTTAGTAACGTAACGAGGCACAATGAGACGATTTCTATTGGCCATCGTGTCTCATTTCGTCGTGAGGCAAACTGAGACAGGATGGCACTTAAAATCGTCTCATTTTGCCTCCCTACGTACACCAGGTTCTCCACTTACGACATTTGTATTTGTGCAGGTATCATCCCTGGAGTTTTCTCAACAGTCCGGGTTGGATCGGATTGAAATGCGAGTTGCGAATTTTATCCCAATTTTCATTCACGCTAAATCCCAACTGGGAGCTGAGAATGTTGAAAGAGCAGCAAAAATTAGATGTCAAGCACGGAGTGAGAGATATGCTCGTGAAGCATCACTTGTTCTCGTGGAATCTGTAAATTCTCCGACACTCAAGAAGACAAACTAAAATGAATTTATCTCCATTCGATTCGATTGCATGATTTATTGTGATTTTAAAAATATACGTGACACTGGGCAAGGGAAATGATCGGGGAGAATTTGGAGCGAATTTGGAGCGTAATGACCGCAGAGTCGTAGCGAATTTTGAGGAAATCTGGAATATTTGCGAATATTTAGCGAATCTAGAATCGCCACGAATTCGTGACAAATCTGAGATATCTGCGAATTCATTATTGCGAGTCTAGAATCGCCACAAATTCATTGCGAATCTGAAATCGTCGTGATTTCTCTTTCGCGAATTTCGCTCCGAATTCTCAACGATTATTTTTGCGCCTCTTCCACTGCATCTGATTAAATCTATTCCAAATATTTATCCATCTTCTGAAGACATCTACATAAATATATATTTGATAAAACTCTGCTATTTATTGATTGATTGATCAAGGAAATTAAGTACAATTTTAACAAATTTTAAAACAGCTATTACATGCATATATACATAATTATCTAAATGTACAATTTACTAAAAAAACTATACATACGTAAATTTCATCAATGTTAGCTATCTATTTACCACCCCCACATATTTTCTCAAATATCTATCTGTTATTCATATTTAAGCAAAAACGTAACTAAATAAAAATACGATGATGCCATAAAAAATTGACTTTCCTTTCTCTCCAATCACAACCTGACAACGAAAACCTTCTGCGTCACGAGTTAATCCATATTTTTATTTGGGCAGGATTTTCTGCATCACAATGACCATTTAACGCTTAACAAAACTTACATATTATTGCATCATTATAATTTTATTGACAAAAATTTCCATTTTGCCTGCCGGTGACAATATGAATTGGTGGACTATGGACAATAAAAAATGGTTGTAAAAGTAGTAGCAACGTGAGTGCTATTAGGTATGTTTGCATACATGCAAGAAATGCTCATTACGCATTAATTTAATTATTTATCAGGGGTGGGCAAAATATTTAGGCAAAATCCAGTATTTTGAGCTCTGTTCTTTCCAGGTATTGGACTTTCGGGGCTGTTACACCCACAAAAAGACGAAAATCTACAATAGTCGTACGAAAATACGGGTTTTGTCAAGAAATTGTCATTTTATCGATGTCAGAATACTTGATTTAAAAAAATCGTGAAAAAACAATGTATTTTGACAGCGATAAAAAGTTAACTTCTTCACAAAACCTGCATTTTCGTACGACTGTTGCCTTTCCCACGTAGATTTTCGTCTTTTATTGGGTGTAACACCCCCGGAAATCCAAACCCTGGAAAGAACGGGGCACAAAATACTGTTATTTGCCAAATTATTTTGCTCAAAATATTTCGCCTAACCCTGTAATAATTAATGTGTGTACATGCATACATACCATTTGAATGCATGCATGAAAATGTTATTGTTTGCATACGTGTGTGTAATTGACACATGAAATCAGGGTGAAGATCACCCAAAGTTTTTTATTGCTTTGCTTTAGAACAAATCCCACTACAAAGTGATAAGGTAATTACACATAAAGTAATCCAGCGCAGAGATGACCACGGGTGCATTGTATCATCAATTTGTATGTATGCATGTACTAAAGGATCCGCCAGCTTCTGCGTCAGCATAGTTGTTTCAAGTGGCAAATAATTATTGGGGCAATAATGTGTACTGTTCTTCGATGCGGGATGAAAACCGACAACAATAAACTCACCGAGGGATTAGCGTTGATTAGCAGCACTTTGCAATATGCGAAATTGTATAAAAACCTGGGCCCGACGAGGCATTCAGCATCACAAGCGAGCTTTACTCATCAGAGCAAGAGCAACAAAAAAGAACAAAAGTTGTACAAATTTTCAGTAATTTTTCAGTAATTTTTCAGCATGAAAGCTGTAGCTATTACATTGCTCCTAGCTATTGGGGCGTCGGCTCGTATCTTACCGGTGAGAAAAACTATAAAGAGGGATACATTTTGAAGGGGGGAATTTTATTGTTTAATTTTTATTACGCAGATTCAGCCTGACTGTGCCCCAGTCCCAGTTCAACCACTCCCAGCTATCCTTCCGGGAGGACCAGTCCAACCAATTTTCACCGGTGATGAGGCTTCCATTGGAGGTCAACAGCCATCAATTGTCCCAGTCCCAATTTTCGGAGGTAGCGATGCTTCCATCGGGGGACAACAGCCTTCAATTCACCCAGTTCCAATTTTCGGAGGTAGCGATGCTTCCATTGGGGCCCAACAGCCATCGATTGTCCCAGTCCCAATTTTCGGAGGTAGCGATGCTTCCATTGGGGGACAACAGCCTTCAATTCACCCAGTTCCAATTTTCGGAGGTAGCGACGCTTCCATTGGTGGACAACAGCCATCTATTGTTCCAGTTCCAATCTTCGAAGGACAAAAGCCATCCATCGGTGGTGGAATTTCCATCCTTCCAGCCCCTGGCAGCGGAACCAAACTCCCACCAAAGGAACCCATTATCTCCATTCTTCCCGTAGAAGGTGGTGAGGTGATCTCTATCTTCCCAGTTGTTGAACCCCAACAGCCATCCATTGTTCCAGTCCCAATCTTCGGAGGTAGCGATGCTTCCATTGGAGGACAACAGCCATCGATTGTTCCAGTCCCAATCTTCGGGGGTAGCGATGCTTCCATTGGAGGTCAACAGCCATCCATTGTTCCAGTCCCAATCTTCGGAGGTAGCGATGCTTCTATTGGAGGACAACAGCCATCCATTGTTCCAGTCCCAATCTTCGGCGGCAGCGATGCTTCCATTGGAGGACAACAGCCATCGATTGTTCCAGTCCCAATCTTCGGGGGTAGCGATGCTTCCATTGGAGGTCAACAGCCATCGATTGTTCCAGTCCCAATCTTCGAGGGACAAAAGCCATCCATCGGAGGTGGAATTTCCATCCTTCCAGCCCCAGGCAGCGGCACCAAACTCCCACCAAAGGAACCAGTTATCTCTATCCTTCCAGTACAAGGTGGTGAGGTCGTCTCTATCCTTCCAGTTGTTGAACCCCAACAGCCATCCATTGTCCCAGTCCCAATCTTCGGCGGCAGCGATGCCTCCATTGGTGCCCAACAGCCATCCATTGTTCCAGTCCCAATCTTCGGCGGCAGCGATGCTTCCATTGGTGCCCAACAGCCATCCATTGTTCCAGTCCCAATCTTCGGCGGCAGCGATGCTTCCATTGGTGGACAACAGCCATCCATCCACCCAGTTCCAATTTTCGAGGGACAAAAGCCAGCCATCATCGGTGGACCAGTCGTTGACAACAAACTCCCAGTCGTTGCCCCAGTAGTATCCATCAAGCCTGTCGAGAAGCCACAACAGCCATCCATTGTCCCAGTCCCAATCTTCGGAGGTAGCGATGCTTCCATTGGTGCCCAACAGCCATCCATTGTTCCAGTCCCAATCTTCGGAGGTAGCGATGCTTCCATTGGTGCCCAACAGCCATCCATTGTTCCAGTCCCAATCTTCGGAGGTAGCGATGCTTCCATTGGAGCCCAACAGCCGTCCATTGTCCCAGTCCCAATCTTCGGAGGTAGCGATGCTTCCATCGGGGGACAACAGCCATCCATTGTTCCAGTCCCAATCTTCGAAGGACAAAAGCCATCCATCGGAGGAGGAATTTCTATCCTTCCAGCCCCCGGCAGCGGCACCAAGCTCCCACCAAAGGAGATCATCTCCATCTTCCCCGTTGAAGGTGGTGAGGTCGTCTCTATCCTTCCAGTCCCAGAAGAACAAGGTTGCGAGGAAGCCGTTGCTCCCATCTTCAACGGTGGAGAGGCAACTATTGGCCAACAGCCATCCATTGTCCCAGTCCCAGTTTTCTCTGGCGGTGATGTCTCATTCGGTGGACAACAGCCATCCATTGTCCCAGTCCCAATCTTCGGCGGCAGCGACGCTTCCATCGGAGGACAACAGCCATCCATTGTCCCAGTCCCAATCTTCGGAGGTAGCGATGCTTCCATCGGAGCCCAACAGCCATCCATTGTCCCAGTCCCAATCTTCGGCGGCAGCGACGCTTCCATCGGAGGACAACAGCCATCCATCCACCCAGTTCCAATCTTTGGAGGTAGCGATGCTTCCATCGGTGGACAACAACCATCCATTGTCCCAGTTCCAGTTTTCACTGGAGGACAAGCTGAGATCGAGGGACACAACAGCGACAAGTGGATCATCTTCTAAACAACTCACGAAAACGGTACGACAACTCTACGGTTTATGAATTTGAAAGCGATGTGTACGCAAAATTTTAAAATTATTTCTTATCGGCCAATAAATAAATCTGCAATAACTCAGCATGAATTTATTGAACTTGTACAAGATACAAGATGTACAAGAACTTGTACATGTTTTTTTACACGCATATTACACATAAAACAATTGTTGCATTTACATATAATACAAAATGAGCCACTTATGTACTTCAAAAATCTCTATAAGAACGATACATACATCAACCCAACATGATTTCCTAAATTATGCACTTAATACAAAATTACTGTTTGATAAATGATTTAGTTTACGACCATTTAAACACTATTTCCAATTTCTTTAGTAAATAGCACCAGAAATTTAAATATTTACTACTCGCTTTCTCTTTACTTTCTCTTTGATAAAATATCCATGTCATACTAAAATTCACTGTATTTTTACGGAGGGGTTTAAATTTCTATGTACGCACACTTTTTCTTCAAAAACTTATTAATTGACTTTCTATAAAATCGAGAGATACATATTTATGTATTCATAATTGTTTTTCTGGTTTTTCTGAGTTTTAAAAATATACAGATATCGTCCAGTTAAAATCGGTATATGTATGAATTTGGCATCTCTACTAACGCGTTATTTACATTTATATTTGGAGAGAATTCTTGAATATTTAAAATTTTGAATTACTTGATATTTTGTGTTTCATATATTTTTTTTTAATTTACTACTGACTGGTACTTGGTCACCTTTTTGGACTTGTGTGTTTTATGAGACTGATTGATTGATATGGTAGATTGGTTCCGCTTGCTTTCTCTTTACTTGCATTTGCAGAGTGGATATAGTAATTTATGTAAATTGTGTGTGTACTAAATCTTTTGCTTAAAAATTACACGAGAATAAAACAAAGTAAAAGTTGTATATATTAACAAATAACTTAACATAGGACTCGATGACTAATCACCAACATCGTAAAATAAGCACATTTTTAATTAGTTCTCGCCTCTGGGAATTTATTTTAAAATTCTGAACGACAAATTTGTTGTCAGTGAGTTGATTAATCAGCTCCAATTTTTCTGAAGCTTCTTAAACTTGAAGTCTCCTCCTTCCAAAAGTGTCAAAATCTGGAGTGTATATATTTCTATAAAAAAAATTAGCAACTCCCTGCTCTACAAATTTTCCGTTCAGAATTTTAAAATAAATTTCCAGACCCGAGAAATGTGCTGATTTTGACGATCAGTTATCGAGTCTTTATAAGAATCAGGTAACACACGAATAGATAATCTCTGTATCTCTGCATTTCCAAAATATTTACACAACTTTAAAACTTCGCGACAATTTCAAATCTTAAATAAAAGTATGGAAATGCATAAATATTACTAATATACATATTTATAAATGCAACATTACCGACAAATTCATGTGATACACACAGGAGAAAGGACAGGTTTTTTACAAGGTACATAAATATACAGGCTAAAAATGTACACGCTTTTAAATAGTTACATAATAATCTGTAATAAGCGATAAATATTTCTCTATTTTTTCGAAATGAAAAAACAAGTTTTCGTGCAAAAGCTATACGAAAGAAGAAGCCAAAATGTATGTATTTTACAATTATCACGGTCAAGGTTTCAAAATGGAAGGTGGTGGCGAGAAATAGTGGTTATAAAATTGATAATTTTTTTTGTTATATTATATTCAGTATCAACAAGTTATAACATCTCGGTAATAATCTGCTAAGAATATTTAATACGGGAATTGAAAAGTTTTGTTGTTGTTGTCACATATTTTTTGTATTAATTAGATTACATATTAATTATGTTTTAATAGCTAATTAATGTTTAATTAATATATGTACAATTAAAATATGTACAAATTAAGTAATTCTTTGATCCGTCATTCGTTGCTCTGCATTGACGTGCATATAAAATCAGAGGTCAAAGCACAATTGTAAATAGCTATAATTATTTAGCACCGTAATAATTCAGTTTTTGCCATTTTGTAAATTACAAATTTTTGGTGCATAAATACATACATAAGTATTTTTTAAATGGAAAATAAAAAGTTTTACAAAGAATTCGATGTTGTTGAACTTTACTTGATTGATTCCACTTTGGAATTTCGATACATTTTCCGGAGGATCGTAAATAATAATACGATCCAGCTTTTTTAAACTTCTTGAAGATACTTGACGGGACAGATGCCTTGTTTGTTGTCGCCGTTTCGAATGGTCACCATTCCATCCAATTCCTCCCCGATTTGTATCACAATCTAGGAAAAAAATATAAATTTTCATAAGAACGGGACGCTGATCAAGGTTTCGCTGTGGTTTTATTAACCACTGTCCAAAACCGGTTTTAACCAGTTTTCGTTGGACGCCTAATTTTTTAGATGTCCAAAAGTGTTCCAAAGTATGTGGAAAATGTGACAAAACATTGCAAATTCTTCATTTGTGAATGTTTCGATAATCCATTGACATGTATGAAATCTCTCATTAATTTTGAGCATTTTGGTCTGTAATAGTACGGCGTGGTATAGAAAATTTCTTAATTTCTCATAAAAAAGAAAACATGTGAAAAAGAAGTTTTCAAAATTTCATGGCATTACACATCCACCAAAATTTTCAAAATGAATGGGAGATTATATATCTCTGGGTAGATTTGCAAAAAAAATCGTTAATAAAGGATATTTTGTCCCATTTTTCAATTTTGGACACTTTTGGACATTTTGGACGCCGAAAATTATTTTGGACACTTTGGACACCGAAAAAATTATTTTATACAATTTTTGGACGCTTATGGACGGCGTCCAGGCTAAAAATAGTTTTGCACGTGGAAAGCGAAACACTGGAAATAATGCATATTTCTTCTTACTTGATCCCGCAACAGTTTGAGCCCATTATCCGCTCCATCAGTCACTTGCAAATTGTGCGTCACCTGCAACGGCTTTTCTCCCGTGTGCAGTTTTGTGACGTATTTTGAAGGGAAATATCCCACGCGACCCATGCACTTGCCCTGCCACCAGTCAGGGTCCGTCGTGTCCACCACCGTGACTCGGTTGCCAGCCCTGTCAAGGAAAAGTGAAAGGATAAGCTGCAATGTTATGCAAGGATCAGTGGCCGCGGAAGGGTGAGGGGACAAAAGAGGGACAATGTCCCCACGGTTGTTCGATGTCCGCATCATCTCCCCATATTATACAAACCCGTTTCTCCTTTATCCAGCAATGTTAATGTCCCCATGACTTCCGCGGCCACTGGATGTGATAATCGCGTTACACATGAAAATTGTGACACTTACTTCAAGTCAAGTTCGTCTGGATGTCGGGCCTGTAAACGGATTAAGAAAGTTGCATAATTATTAATTTCCGGTGATCTGTAGTGTTTCGGGTTTGCTACATTTTTTGCACTCCTCGAAAGAAACGCAAGAAATTCGAGGTGTAAGAAGGTTTCTTCACAATTAGGAAACTAAACGTCTGTTTCGTTTTTTTTCAAAATCCGAATTGAATTTGTAAATATGTAAAATTTTGATGCCGTAAATATTAAACTTATCAACTCGAAATATATTTGGTTATTATAAGATCCAAAAAGGTCCACTTTTTGCAAGGGAAGAGGAAAGGAAGAAACGGAGGAAATGCGAGGTGCAAGAAATACGCGCCGTATGAAGTATTTATCGCGGCGGGACGTAGTTTCTTGCATTTATCCCAGTTCAAAAGTAAGAAACCACTTTCTCCCTCTTATTTCTTGCACGTGGTTACTTTCACCCGAAACACTAGTATTTTCCCCACGGATAAATTTGTATTTACCTTAAACATGTAGAGACACACGTACAAATTGGTTGGAAGGAGGCGATGAGGTTTCAGCTGTGTATGAAAAATAGATGGGAAATGATTAAAATAACTTAATTCTCAAAAGAGTAGACCGGTGAATGAATGTGTTGGTTAATGGCCGCGGAAGCTTGCGGGGACAGAGGGACAAGGTCTCTACGGTTGTTCGATGTCCCCATCATCTTCACCCCTCCCTCCCTATCCTACGATGTAATGTCCCCACGGCTTCCGCGGCCACTGGTTTTGGTTAATGGTTTGTTATTATGTTAAGGTCATCCATCAATCCATCCGGTCTACACATTTTATTCTAATTTCGGGAATATTGTGAATGGATGTTTTTTTTAAGATTTATATGTTACGGCTTAAAAATATGACTAGTGATCTACTACCGGCGAAGGAGATGGTGAAGTACTTGCCGAGCTGATGGACTTGTCATTCTCATCCGGAAGCTGGTTGATATATAGCAGATAACGAATTAATAAATTTAGATTTCAGAAATTTAGGTACATTTTCGACTTAATTTCTTTTTATGTACCTCGACCGAACTCATTCGCACGTTCCTTGCTGAGAGGAGTGCTCTCCGATTGTGGACCGGGCTTGATGGAGCTGTGAAGAATTGAAGTAAAAAAATGTGGTGAAAGCTGGCTTTGAAATTTTTGAATCATGGACACACACAATTACACATCGAACTACTTACACATCCAGAACATATACAGAAGTTATTGTTATTTTCATTCGTGCATCATTACAAATTAATTAGTTAACTAGTCAGAAAAGCAGAGTCATTCCAATCACCAATCACAAAAATTTGCGGAGAGTGAATTCATTCATGATCATGACAAATCAGTCCGGAGAAAGCGATGGTCATACACAGGCTACTGCACGACATTGAGATTCAGACTTTTTTAAAACTAACTATGTTATAAAAACATCAAAAATTAAGTAAAGTTCGTGTTTATGATCGTATCAAAATTGACCTTTACCAAATTTTTTGGCAGAATTTTGCACATTTCGGGAGAAAATTATTTTCTACAGAATTAACTAATTGAGCAGAACATAACATGTACATTTTACTCTGCACAGTGGCCGCGGAAGTTGTGGGGACATTAACATTGCAGGATAGGGGAGGGAGGGGTTTATATAAGATGGGGAGATGATCCGGACATCGAATAACCATGGGGACATTATCCCTCTGTCCACACGCTTCCGCGGTCAATGATTTTGCTTTAAAATTTATATGAAGAAATTGTGCAGTTGTTTTTTTGTTGTAGAAATTTTCGGCAGGTCAATTTTCATACGAGATTAATTACTTACTACAGAAGCGGGTAGCAGAGCGATAAAAATGTCTAAAATCTGTATTTATTGCATTTAATAGGGTCGGATTTTATTTAGGGAAACATTGCAACATTGAGAAGAAAATTTAGGAAATTTATATTTACAACGTTACTTTTTTTACTCCACAAAGTGTGCGGTCACATTAAGAAAAAACTGGACAAGCGTAAGTACAAACCCATAAAGCAGAGTTGCAACCAGAATTTTAAACTTTTTCGCCATTTTCGCATAATTCTTTGCAAAGAAATTTGAAATTTGATCTTGGTAAGGTTGAAAATGCATGGCGTCACATTTATGAGCCAACTTTTGGGAGAAAGTTGGATTAAAAAAGTGAAATGCGGGATATGGAAATTCCATCTTATAGGTAACTTGACTTGAAAAAAGTTCCCTAAGTTTTCAGGGAACATTTCCTGAAAAGTTTGGGTGAGGAGAGAAAGCGACGCTCTTAAATATCAGAACTGTGGTAGCTCAAAAGTAGAAAGTCGTACTACGTATATGATAGACAGGCTAATTTAATGTATGTACACACAAACATACTTCGAATATTTATAGCTAATCAAATAAGTTTACAGTTTACAGGGAAAAAAATCTGCGCAAAAATTTCGCACGTTTTGCTAAAATTGTGTATTCTTTCAAAACCTGATCGTCTACTAAAATACGGGACAAAATTACATGAACTATCTACTACAAAAAAGTGCTATTGAACATAGGACATCAAAGTACAGAGAGACCGATGCCGCACAACTTGAAGGGGGGGGACTTTGACCTCATAAAAATCCAGTGGCCGCAGAAGCCGTAGGGGCATTTGGGGACATTAACACTGTAGGATAGGAGGGGAGGGAGGGGTTTATATAAGATGGGGAGATGATGCGGACATCGAACAACCATGGGGACATTGTCCAAACCCTTCCGCGGCCACTGTAAAAATCGACTTTCATCCGAAAATAAGCAACATTCAGAATTCTGTATTAACTTTCTGAATAAAAATCTTGTACATTTTAGCAAGATAAAAGTTGAAATTCTACTTTTGCAGACCCATAAATTTACAATTTGCAAATTTTCGACCGGTAAATTTCCCTCCGAAATACATAAAATGTCACCCTTATCTAGCTGTGCGGCATAAATTTCGAATTGTGTTTTGTTTATTTTTGGCGGTTAATTTTAGTGCTATTTGTTGTGTAGTATCAGTTAGAAAAGAAAGGTTGAAGAGAAAGAATACCGAAATGATTGAGGGAGGCAAATGGTGTTTGAGCGTAGAAATCAGCGGAGGACTGAGCGTAATTATTGGAAGAAGAAGCAGAGTTAGAATGGACCATGCCGTTGCCTATTATCAAATTCCTATTATTCAGCGTCCCCCCTGACCCGCCTCCATTAGCGTAACCCGCAGACGGTCCAGGCCCCCTACTCAACGCTGGAAAAGGGAGAGAACGACACCACAAAGTCAAAATCAAAACACATACAAAAAACAGGAAAATAAAGGTAAAAAATAATGTAAACTAAATTAAAGGTGGAGGACCAATTAAGTAAGCCTTCTAATTTCGCAGACGGTTTACATTACAGGATGACTCATCGCACAAATCAGCACATTTTTAATCATTTCTCGCCTCTGGGAATTTGTAGGCAATGAGTTGCCAATTTGTAAAAAAATATACACTCCAGATTTTGACACTTTTTGCACAAGTTTAAGCAGCCTTAAGAAAAATTGGGACTCATCGAATCTGGCTTAAGACAACTCACCAGCATTCCATTAATCAACTCACTGACTACAAATTTGTCGTTCAGAATTTTAAGATACATTTCTAGAGTCGAGAAGTGATTAAAAATGTGCTGATTTTTCCGATTTTGGCGATGGGTCATCGAGTCCTACGAGTGACTAAAGTACTTTGTGGTGATGTAGCAAAATATGGTGTAGGTTACATTCCACGATGCAGCTACATGTTTTTGAAGTACGCAGAAGTTTGCATTTAGTAAATATTTACTGCAATAATTGAGCAGTGAAAGTGTGCTTCATTTTTAAGGTACATGATTTTCATATCCTGTAATATTTACCATAAATGAAAAGGATAAGAATCCTGTACCTGAAAAATAAAGCATAAAAAAGGCTAAAGTGCTGGTACGTATGCACACACACGTGAATCGCGGTTTACGGTTACAGTGAAAGCTAATTTGCAACTATCTACATATTTTTTTCTACGTTATGTAACATGCAAATTGAACATTTGAAGTTGTGAATTTTACATCAATTACTACACAAACACCAACACGAAAGCAAATCTAGGGTTTATAAATAATCACAATGTCAATAACAATTAACAATTTGTTTTCATGCACAAACAAACTGAATATGGATTGGATTGGTGATTTTACAAAGGATGTTTCCCAGCGTATGCACTCAAATTTGAGTAAATTAGTGTAACTCGATCACAAATTTCGTTTGTATGAAATTTGTGAAAGACACGATCCCAGAATTGGCACGTTGGACCGAGATATTTGCATCCGAAGAGGAGAAAACGCGCAGTAAAGTAAAAAAAATGTTACACTTTCTAAATTTACTGCGCATTTTCTTCTTTTCGATGCAAATATCTCTGCCAAACGTGCCCATTGGGAGATCGTGTCTTTCGCAAATTTCATATTAACTAAATTTGTGATCGATTCACACCAATTTGCTAAAAATCCGAGAGCTTACGCTGAAAAACCTCCCCTGTATTGTGAATTGTTGCACAAAGAAGGCCAACATAATGTGAGGAATTTAGCCAAATGCTGAATAATAAGTACAACGAGACGACATACACGTGACGGATGCATTATTTACAGAGTGTAAAAGTGCAGAATCTAGTAGATAATTTCACAGGACAACATGTATTTAAAAGAAAATTTGAGATAAAGTTTTTAGGCGACATCAAGATTTTTTTTACGAAATTTTTTACGAAAATTTTACGATGAATTTAAAATTAGCATTTTTGTTTGTTTTGTATTTACATTGGCTATGCGAAGTAGAGGACTGACTTCCGGCGTGAGCAAATCGCCTTCTCTGTGCATGTTCTGTCGATTCGGGCGAATCGAGTGAGAATGATTTCATCCTTAAATCCAATTTCCGTCGTCTCGGACTATGCGGCACTGCACACAAAATTAAAACAAACTCCAAAATTCCAAATCGCTCACAAATAACTCTGATTACGTATTATTGATTAGTTGATTTTTTATTTTTTGGTGAGTGGGTATTAGTGAAAGTGTAGCCTTGATAAATTAGTGGCGTCATGTTATGAGAAAATGTCTAGGTTAATATGATTTTACTTTAGTTATGCGAATTGTGCCTAGGTTTTTGAAGAAATCTGGATAAAAAAATTTTGGTCAGAGGTGGTCAAAATATTTAGTCAAGATACGGTATTTTGAGCTAATTTCTTCCCAGGGTTTGGATTTCCGGGGCTGATTCACCCACAAAAAGGCTAAAATTTGCGTGAATAAGGCAGCAATTCTACGAAAATACCGGGCTTGTGAAGAAATTAACTTTTTATCGCTGTCAAAATTTTGAATTTTTTGAAAAACCGTGAAAACAATGTAGTTTGACAGTGATAAAAAATTAATTTCTTCATAAATCCTGTATTTTCGACTGACTGCTGTCTTTTCCACGTGGATTTTCGTCTTTTTAGCCCGAGTCAGGGCTTATGGAACCGTCATGTCCGTCCGTCCGTCCGTCCGTCTGTCCGGCACGATAGAGCCAAAACGGCTGAACCGATTGACTTGAAATTTTTACCATATGCATATTGGACAAAGTTAGGAAACGAGTTCGAAGATGGGCGAAATTGGTGCAGTGGTTGACCGGTGGGGGTCATCGGAGTGGGTGGGGTATTATGCACCAAAATTTCAAAATTGTCGTAGAAGGCTGAAATTTGGTACAGAGGTTGCTAATGGCTCCTAATAGATGAAAATGACTAAAAGTTGGAAAAATTTTCATCTTGAGGGACCCTATGGGATGACCCATAACGATTTTTCAAAATCGTTATAACAAGCTGAAATTTGGTAGATAGGTTGCTAATGGGTATTAATAGAAGAATATGACATAAAATTGGTAAAATTCTTATCTGGAGCGACCCTATGGGGTAACCCATACCGATTTTTAGAAATTACTTTAAAAACATGAAATCCGGCACGGTGATACCTAATGGCTTCTCACGAAAGAGATATGAAGCGAAAACTGAGCAAATTTTAACCAGAGTGACCCTGGAGGAGTCAGGGACTCTGTCCCTGACTCGGGCTATATGGAGTCTGCACTGTAGGTTTTTTGGGTGTAACAAGCCCGAAAATCCAAACCATAAGAAGAAAGTTTTTCGAAATACTGTATTTTAAAAAAAATACTTTTTTTGCCCACCCCTGAAAATTTGCAATAAGTTTGACTAGGCACAATTTGCACAAAAAAGTAGTAAGTAAGTAGTTATTTTTATCTAAATATTCTTATCTGAATATTTCCTATCTTTGTTTAAACTCTATATTAGTCCAACTTTTTTACCAAAATAAAAGAGAAAACTCAGCAACTCTGAACGAAACATGAAAGCGAAATGAATATTAATACTTGGACTGGCAGTAAGTGAAACTGATCTCGGCGGGAAATTAATCAAATTTTGGCGGGCCGACGATGATCCCTCGGCATCTGCAGAAATCGACTTTCGACTCAGATAACTATCTCGTCTCTGACTAAGGGCAGAGGCTGAAATTCCTCCTGCGTATGTATCATCCAAATTTTATTTTTTTCATAAAATAAATGAGGAACCAGGAAATGTTTTTTTAGGAGAGACTAAATCCAGGGATAATTTAAGCTAAGTTAACTAAGGAGCGGTTTATTTAAATATTTTCTATGGGGCCAATACGACTTGAATGTATCGGCTGAAAAATAAACTAGACAAAAAATTTAATTGCACTATTTTTGATTTGTGATACCGGCGCGCTAATTATTTTTGTAATTATGGTAATTTTTTTATCTGTATAGCAGCGCGAAATTTATAAAATTTGCCTTGAAATTGTGAAGCATTGTATTTGGGAAATGCTTCGCTTCGCTATTCTAAATTTTTAAGCTTTCTGCCAACCGAACAAGTTTTTAGGACAAACTAATTCAATTATGTACTAATTTTTGGGCAAGTATCAAGCAATTAAAAATTGGAATGATGTAATTTTTTCAGTTTTTTCAGTTTTTTTCTGGTTTTTTTCTAAAATTTATAAAGTATTTAAATGCCTTGTAAAAAATTAATGTGAAAGTTGCATGAAATTATGTGAAATTTCATGAAAAAATGTGGTTTTACACTTGCTTGATACTTGTCTTTCTTTCAACTACTAATTTTGGTCAAGTATCAAACAATCAAAAATGAAATATAATTTTTTTAAGATTTCCAAAATTTATGAAGTAAACGCCTCGTTAAAAAAATTAAAGTGCACTGTATTTACATGAAATTGCATCAAATTTCATGAAAACCACGTGTACTCTTGTTTGATACTTGTCTTTCTCAACCGCTATTTGATTACGAGCGTATAAACATGGTAAAATATCAACTAAGGACATATTTAAAATTTAAAAAACGCAGTGAAAGTTGGGCCAAAAAATACCTGACGCTGACGCCGCCGCGACGGAGGGATGGACCGGCGTGGAGGGTCCGGAATGGGCACTGCTTCCACCAGAAATCACATTGACGGAAGGGTTCGACCTCCCAATTCGTGCCGGGGTCATTTCATGTTGCGAGTGAAGAGTTTGATTCGACCCGTGAAGACCGTTTCCTGACCCACTTCCGGAACTCCCGCCGCCACCACCACCACCGCCACCCGGTTTTTTCAGGACATTTGCCTCCTTCAAGACTTGATACGTAGAGTCAAAGTCGTCTGAAAGAAATGTGTGGGTTTTGATAATTGTACAAGTTTTGGGCATAAGAGCAGAGGTCGGATATGTATTTGGGGAAAATGGTTGAAATATGTACATATTTAATATTTTCGAAAAAAGTCAACATTCCTCTCGATTTTTTGTCAAATTTCTTTGAGCAAAAAAAATCGTCTCATCGTTGAAATATTTCCAAAAAATATATATGCTCAAAATTTGACGTAAATAACGCCAAAATATTTACTACATATTTAAAACAAACCATAAAAATCTGAATTTCCTTAAAATTTGTATTTTTAATTTACTCTTCTGGATTTTTATGATTCGATGTTTTCGAGGAAATAAATTTCGTTTCACACGATTTAAATATTTAAAAAATATATATATTTTTGAAGAAAAAAATATGTAATAAATTACGTATTTCTTAAATATTTCTGCATATTTGCATGTCTGAAAACCTAGAAATATTAGAAATATGTAACAATGTGTAAAAATATATAAAAATTTTTTGAAATTTTTTGTGATCTTTTTAAGTTTTCAAGAAACACCCATAAAGTTTGACCATTGGTCGCCATCAAATGATAAGTAAAGCTGAGAATAAATACATATCCGCCCTCTACTCATAAATAAAAGTAAAAAAAACTCACTTGCACCATCCGGATCATCATCGGTCTGCTGTTGTTCAGCCAATTGTGTGAGCCTCGTCTCCAACTCTGAGGTGGATCTCTGCCTTCGCAAGAGCCTCGTTTTTGGCTGACATTTCCCAACTTTCTCCTGACAGTCCAGATGCACATTCATTTTACACATGCGGCACCGTAATCCTTGTCGAGTATGACCTGGAAAAGAAACCTCGGCAGCCTTATTATTGTTATTATTCTAGACTTGGGAGAAAGCAGCAAAAGAGAAAAGGGACCACGGGACATGGGATCAATCCACAAAAGTACTATTATGTGGGAGAGGAGAGAGAGAAATAATGTAAAAATTGAGGTGAAACCAAACCAGGTTTGTTTTAGCCCGAGTCAGAGCTTATGTACCCATGAAGCTTGTCTGCCAGTCTGTCTATCGATTAAAAATTAAAATTGTTGTAAAAATCGTAAAAATTGTCCAATCGACCTGAAATTTTGGAGACATGGAAAACATGCAAAATTCGTATAATTTTGCGTGTTCATGTCAAATAATGAGTAAAACATGGCAAAATATCAAAAAAGTTGTCCTTCTCGCATTATACCCAAGTCAAGAACAACGTGACCTGACTCGGGCTAAATATGTGAGTTTGTAGCACGAGTCAGAGCTTATGTACCCATCATGATTGTCTGTCTGTTTATCAATCTTTTCTAAACTTTTCCAATCGACAGTGTCTCAAAGAGAAGAATTTTTTAAATAAGGAATTTTCAGAAATTTAAATTTTGATAGATTTAGACGCCATTAGAAATAAGGTAGGATTTTCTAATGCTATTTTAATATATGCAGATATTTTAAGTAAACGATATTTGGTACTAAAGAACATTAATAAAAATTTCTGACAGAAAGGAGCAAAGATCATGTCCTTATCTATCCGCCATAATTGTCCGTCTGTATGTCTATCTATTACGCTTGTGAAACTTATCTAATCGGTTGGTGGTTGTAATTTATTCACGTGTTATTCCTTGATCAATACAATTTAATTACTGGTCAACATCAAGTAACACCTTGAAAATTTTCAGACACGTTGAATATGCAAAATTAAGGATCAAGTTGGAAGATAGGAAAAATGTGTGGAAAAATGAAAAAAAATTGTCCTGGTAGTATTATACCTTAGTAACAACCTGACTCGGGCTAAAGAAGGTTGTACTCTGGGTTTCTTATGCAACATTTAACCAAATGTGTTATTCTATTTTATTAGAATTTCACGTATTTACGTCGAATTTCATTTTGTTATTTACTAAATTAAACTAAAATGAATACAACTTTCTAATTTTTGAGATAAACCCGATCAACGCAAAATGACAAAAAATCTGCCATGTTGATCGAAACGACGGTTTGTCCACAACTCGTGTCTGTTTCGTCTGTTGTTTTTGCCGATAGCTGTCTGAGTAAGTTTCCAAGCTTCCGGCGGTCGACAAACCGTCTTCTAGCAGATCGTTTATCGGGAACTTTCCCCATTTACTTCGATACAATGATGAATGAAATGAAGAAGAGTGGGCGGTTGGGGATAATGCTGCACTGGATAATTTTCTCCTTGCCTAGAAATCAACCTCCTTCTCTTTTTTCTACTTAGATTTTACACCAGATTCGATTCCAAGAAGTAAACTAACTCGACAAAACTTTGAATAACAAGAAGAAAAAAAATCAACCGTGAGTGAGCTGAGAAGACTACAATCTTAGAAATCCGGTATTAAAATGATACCAAGTGGTGTTCATAACATATATGACTCTACCAAAATAGTATTGATAAGTAATACCCTGTAGTAATAGCTCGGTATTAAAGTTTTTACCATATCAGTAGCAAATTTTTACGGGACCGATATAATTTAAATACCAAGCGGTAGCAACTTTAATACCGAGAAATCATTACCTGCCTGAATATTACCAGATTTCTAACAGTGTAGAAATCCGGTATAAAACTAATACCAAGCGGTATTCATGTATGACTCTACCAAAGTGGAATTGATAAGTAGTACCCTGTAGTAATTGCTCGGCATTCAAGTTTTACCATATCAGTAGCAAATTTATATGGACCGGTAAAATAATTTAATACCAAGCGGTAGCAACTTTAATACCGAGAAATCATTACCTGCCTGACTATACCAGATTTCTAAGAGTGTTAACATACGAAGAAGATGGACTGGATACTTGGAAGTGCACAATATATGACGAAGGAAAAAAATCTGTTCCCAATGGAGAGTGGAGAAAGCACAAGGAGAAAAAAAATAATGTAAAAAGTGGTGGAGGTGGAGAAAGCGGACAAAATAATGTAAAAAGTTCCCCAAAAAAACAAAACTTACCTCTCAGAATCTGTGAGCAAATATCGCACGGTGTGATTTTCTTGTAAGTGTACTCTTGGAAAATGTGGTTCTCAAATATTTGGAACGGTTCCTTCGAATCCTTTTCTTTCCCGTTTTTCCTGGTAACACGTTAGAAAATAATTAGTCAGTCCTCGAATTAAGAAAAGTGCGACACTTTACGCCTTATAAATTAAGACACGCTATGTCATCTACTTGGTAGCATTTACAGGGAGGCAGATACAATTACTAACGAGATTAATGGTACATACACTACATTTAGTTTGTGCAGAGTACTTTATTACACAAATTTACGGGGGAGGAATTTCTTACGCAATGGGGAATGACATCCAGACATACAACTACAAAAAGCAGGGGCTGCGGAACAGTGGAGGACAGAAATATAGGATTTTCTATCCTTAAAATCAAGGTTGTTAATAAAAATTAATATATTCGCGACATATTTATAAGCGTATTTGCGAACTATTAAATACCTAATTTTCCAGGCAAATTTGTTTACGAACTTGCATGTAGACATAATTCACGCAGCCCTAGGTAATTTATAAAATCTGTAAATTTTGTAAAATTTATTGCCAAATAAAAAACGATCTGGATCTGAGTAATCTCATCTAAATTTGTAAGCTACTTTTTCCTAGAAATATTTGTAAATGTTGCAAAAGTTTGTAAGTTTACGGATTTTACGAAGTTATCAAATTGGGTAAATCGCCTCCGTGCTTTTTTGGTCTTGCATTTTCTCTACCTTGCAGTACTATGCTTTTGTCCCCATACGGTTTTACAGCCCCTGAGTCGCACACTTTTACTTTAATTACATTTGAATAACGGTGAGACACTACAAGACACTGACCATCCCAAGCATCCATTACACGTAAAGTATGTACTATTTGGTGGTCACGTAACCAACACTCGGCACGATTAAATAATGTATCTTTGCCTTGTTGTCGTGCAATTAGAGAAAGCCAGACGGAGAAAGCAAGAACATTTCGCCAAGGAGGAGAGGAGGACAAAAGAGAAAGTGGTCTGCTGTGCATGTAGAAGCAACAAGTAGCACATACATCACGAGCCAGTGGCCGCGGAAGGGTGGGAACAAAGGGACAATGTCCCCACGGTTATTCGATGTCCGCATCATCTCCCCATGCTATATAAACGCCTCCCTCCCCTATCCTACACTGTTAATGTCCCCAGATGCCCCCACGGCTTCCGCGGCCACTGCTACACACAGCGACACGATAGACAATAGGTACCCTTTGACAAAGGAGAAAGCTTTCTCTTTTTTTATTTTATAGAAATAAAAAACATCCAAAAGTTGTTCCTATCAAGGGACAATAATTTAATTTTTACGGCGAATGTTAGCACGAAATCACTTTGGTAGGGAACAAAGAATAAGCACTTTTCTTCTTTTAAAAACGTGGACATGGACATTCTAGAGAAATTCTCGAGAGAGGTAAGCAGAAAAAAATTGTTAGCTGAGAGAGAGACAAGAACACGAGAGCATATTGTGCATGTTGTGTCGTGTGGTTGGTGAAGGATTGCATTTTTATTAAGCCAAGTAGAATAATCAGTGTGCCGGGTGAAAGTAACGACTTGCAAGAAATAATGGGGAGAAAGTGGTTTCTTGCAGATAAGTATTTTGACCTGCAAGAAATCCAAGGTGCGAGAAACTAGTTCCCGCCACTATACTTTATAGGGTACGTGGCTAGATGGCGCATATTTCTGGCACTTTCTCCCAGTTTCTGGCATCTCGCATTTCTCGCATTTCTTCCTTTGTACTGCAAGATATTTAGCAAACCCGCAAGAAACGAAACACTAAAAATAATGTATACGTATGTATGTAAGGTGTATAGAAATGCGGATATTTTGAGCAGACGGTGAGCCAGGCAAATTTCTACGTGGAGAAAGCAAGGTTTGTGATGTATTTTGTGTGTGTATGTGTGTGTTGAGTAAACTTATCAACGAGGCGGCTGGCTGGCTGGTTGGTAGATTTGGATGGAATAAAATTGAGACACGAGGGAACAAGAGGAGACATTTTGAAGAGAAAGCATCTGCCAGTCTTGTCCCCATTTCGACGCTCAAACTACTTTTGTATGTAGCAGAGAAGAGAGAAAGTGAAGTGGTGTGGTTGGTTTGTATGTATGTATTTGCACGAGCCTGTTGGTCCGTCTGGTATCAGATTTCTGAAAGAATGGTAATTCACTACCTTGGGAATCCTGACTCATCTCTGTTCTATGTACGATTGTTGATTTCGTAATGAAAGGAAAAATATGTACTACAAATTCACCTACTTTTGCTACTTGATACATATGTTAGCCATTGTATGGAGATGAATTTGCAGGTTTGCAAAGGTGAAAGCGCGACCTAATGGATGTATAACTCTGCTGTATGAATTTTAGAGAGGGTGAAATTAGGAGGGGGAAATGTATATCTACAGAAGTCGAATATTCACCAACTTTCACTATCGCTACTTGATACTTTAGCCATCGTCCTGTCCTGTGAGATGAATTTGCAAAGGTGAAAGTGTGGCCAAATGGATGTATAACTTTGTACGAATTACAAATTCAAAAGGAAAAATATATCCCTACAAAAGTCAAATATTCGACAACTTTAACTTTTACTAGTGGATATGTTAGCCATGAATTTGCATGGGTGAAAGTGCTATCAAATAAATGTGTAACACTGCATAAATTGCTTTCACTTGATATATATCGTTCTGAGATAAATTTCCACAGGTGAAAACGATGTATGTCTAACTCTACATGAATTGTATATCAATTTTATGGTGAGTTGTGTATAATATAATGTCGTTCTTGTGTGGGTGGTGGATTGTTATAAAATATGGGGAAAGTTTCCCTCTGTAATTTATATGTAGGCAGTAATCCACCAGCTTAAGTGATGTTCACTGATACTGCAATTGTTTATTAATTCAATGACGAATCCTACTTTCACTGGCTTGTTGTATGTATGCGCAACAGGTTTTATGTAGATGGGTGCAAGCATATATCGACCACTCGGTAACAATTATACGCCTTTTTTGTTCACTGATACTGCAATTGCGGATTAATGACTTTCACTTACACGCTTGACGTAGTTTTGTGTATGTACGTGCAACAAGTTTTATGTAGATTCATGCATATATCGACTGCAGGGTAACAATTATACGTTTATTTTTTTGTCCTATAGGTTTCTACGACTAGACAAACAGACATACATAAAATACAATCAGAGCTCAATCTACGGGTGTATGTAACTAAATACATATTATTTTCACGGTGTGCTGCTACTGCATACTCGGCCATGGATGGAGTTATGTACGGATTTGGTGCTTGATTACTTGATAAGTAGTAATCAAAGCTGTTTAATGTACTACAAAACTAACTAACAAACTAACTACATAAACGACTGAGAAAGTTTTTAGTTTGTTAGTTGACCAACCTCAACGCCATTATCGCATTCACTGCGGTAAACATTTGAAATTGTGGTTTTCTCGACGGCAGTACCTCGATAGGAATGGGCGGCCAGTTGTTTTTAAAGAGTGAAAAGTTTATTAGTGATAATTGAAAAAAGTTAAAAACATGAATTGGTTAGTTAAAAATTTGAAAATTTAAAAAATTTGAAAAAGGTAGGAAACATTTTTTCATAAAACTTACTTTTCTGGTTCTTTTTCCGGCGTGGATTTCAAGCTTTTGAAAGCCTTCAACCACTTGGACTTCATCCCGGTGCCGGATCCGGCCCCCGGAAATTTTCGGTCGGACCCGCCCTTGCCCCCTGGGCCGTAACCGGCACTGTCGTCCCCACCCCCACCGGCACCTTCGACCATGGCGTTGGCCCGGCTGGCAGAATTGGAGGATTTTGAGGATGACGGCATTGCTTCGCCACTTCGACCACCAGCGGAACTCGAGCTGGGAGCGTAAAGTTCTTTCTGTGAAGGGTGAAAATAGACGGGTATCAACTAATGGTGGTTAGGAATTTGTGGTCAAGAGTACAGTTATGACGGGTAAAACTGAAATTTACTAGGGTATCGGGAAAAATGCTAATTTGTCCAACATTTTACCGCTATTTTGAATCGCGTGAATTGGAAAAAGTGTCAAACTTTATCAGAGCAGTGAGAAAATATGAATTTCTCCCAATTCTTACCACCCATCCTAAATAAATAGGTGTGAAAAATGGGAACAGATTGATTTTTTCACTTTCTCCAGTATTTTAAATAAGTGGGAAGTAGAAAAAAGTGTATTTTTACTAGATCCCTTCGTCTAGTATTGAATTAGCCACTCTTATCAATTAGTCAATCAAATAATTGAACTATTTTGGACAGTAAAACCCAGTTTTTCCCACCTGTCGTGGGAAAAATGTGTTTTAATTTGAAAAAAATGAAACCCACAGAAATTTTCCGATGGGAATTTATATAGCTTTACCAGAGAGGACAGAGTCAAAACCAGATCACCCGTTTTGATTTAATTGGACGGATATAAATTTTGACATTTGTCGTTAGTACACAAATTATGAACGGGTGGACGGCGTTGCTGGTTACCTGTGACTTCAAAGCGGCGTAGTGCATCTGGGCAACGCGGAGATCAAACCGTTTCATGCTGATTTCTTCTTGAAGCTCGTTTGCCTTGTTCCACAGGTTCGAGTCCAGAGATCTAAAATAGAAAATCACAGGGTTCCATTAAAGGCCAAGTTTTCTTATCAGGGAATTTTTCAAAATCAAAGAAGACTAAAATAATAGAAAGAAAGTAGATATATCCCAGTGATTTTTATCATTCTTAAAAACGTTAAACTTTTGGCCGAAATAATTTTTAAACTCGTATAATTTCGATACATTTGGAATACTCAATCAAATAGTTCTTCTGATGGGTGAGGATTTTTTTACCCAAAAATAAAAAGATCAGAATAACCAGAAGAAAATCAAAATAAGAAACATTGAAATTTATAAATTTCATTTTGAAAATTTTGCAGAAATGAATTTAAACTAGTATAATCCAGATGCATTTGAAATACTGAATTAAATTATTAGTTCATTAGATGCTACCAATAGGCGAGGATTTTTTTATCCAAAAACGAAATAACAAAGATACACAAGAGAAAGAAAAAATGCTCCAGTAATTTTTTACAAAATTGAAATTTCATTTTGAAAATTTTGCGGAAATGATTTTTAGACTCTTACATAAAATTTCTATACATTTGGAACACTGGTGAAAACTTAATGAACCAAATTACTACTTCTTCTGGTGAGCGAATCATTGTCACAAACAAGAAGATCATTGAATCTTATGGATGACTTGGTAAATTAGTAATGGAATAGAATCTGATTGTTCAATTTACTAGAAAATGTGTCACTTTGTGTGTGTACAAGTTTGAACCTTGTTTTCCACCCCGTTTAACCCTTAGCAAATTTGACAGATTTCATAAATCAGTGATTCAATCAAACCACACAAAAGATGATAGCCTTGGGTGGGCCAGATTAATTAATTTCGTATAACGTGCTCCATTAAATACTCGACAATTTCTGAGAAAATGAGACCTGTATCAAGATCAATTGAACTACAAAAGATGATAGCCTTGGGTTATCCAGATTAACTACTTTCGTGTAACTTGCTTCTTTAATTTAGTGGCAAATTTCCGAGAAAATGAGACATGTATCATGAAAATCCTCCAGGTTAATTAATTTACGCTCAAATTTCTGGTAAAATGAGACCTGTTTCGAAATCCTCCAGATTTATTAATTTTGTCGAAAATTTCTGAGAAGATGACACCAAAATATATCGAAATCTCCCAGATTTATTAATTTCCGAGAAAACGAGACATGTATCAAGACTTTTTATTATGTAGCATTTATTGATTAGTCGGCTAAACTAATGCTAAAATTAAGGTAATAATTAATCCCATAATTAATTAAGATTTTGCTCGGTGGACCTGAAAATTACGACGTAGATTAGATTACTTTCTTCTTCTCTTTAGTAAGTATTTGATTTGATTTGATGAATGATCCATGTCCAAAGGAGATGGTAATCGAGATGTCACACGTGACTAATCGTACGTACGTAGTTTCTGCCACGTTTTTTGCTAGGATTACGTTACGTTACTCACGTCTTTTTTAAGACACTACTAAATAAATCGGATCATGATCCGATCTCAGGCATGGTCGTAAAAAATTAATAGGTTTTTTTTCTTCTTCCTACAAAAAAAGTCTGATTTAACGACCGGATCCGTTTTCTTGTATTTTTTTCTACGATACTTGCTGCCCGAATTGACCTCGATTTTACGATATTTGTCCAGAAATATTGATATTTAGTACTTTGTACAAAATTCTTGTAAAAATATATATTCCCAATATTTCCTAAAATATGGAAAAATCTCTCCCGAATTTACTTTGATTACGATACTTATTTACTCGGAAATATGGATATTACTTTGTAAAAATTTTTATAATTATGTACATATTGACCAATAATTTTTTTCAATATTTCTTAAAATATGGAAAAATCTTGCTAAAATTGACCTCGCTCTGAGCTAATATATTTGCTCAGAAATATTGACATTAATTTTTACAGGGAATTATGATTTTGTACATTAGCAAATATGTATTTCCTAAAATAGTGAAAAATTTCTCACCGTTCCTGCATTCGGATCAAGGTGTCCATTGAATCCTGCAATTGTTTCATCTCTGATTCCATGCTGGCAATCTCCTTTCGCAATCCTGAATCAGAAGCAAGTTGTTAAACTAATTTATTTCATATGGCTTCATGCAAAAATACATACAAAACCAGTTCGTCTCATTAGTCTCATATTACCTCTTACTAAATTTTAACCTAATTGAAGCCGAGATATTGAGACAAATTGGTAAATATGTATGAAATAAATACCTTCGAGACGATTCCTCGCCGATACTGCTGCTTGGCGTTCCATTATCACCTAGAAAATGGGGAAAAATGAAACAATAAGTCAATACAAATTCTGGAGTGTGACCAGATTGAACTTTGTGCCATATTGTTATTGAATTTTGAACATAATATGCTGCAGATCATAAATAAAATCGTAAATAAAGCAGTAAATAAAATAGTACTCACCTCCTCCTTCAATATTGGCACATGGGAAAGATCCTGAAAAACAACATGAAAAACACGCGTCAGTCTAAATTATTGAGCTGCTCGGCATTTATAGGACATAAAAGTTTCTATCGGAATCTCAGCCAAAAATTTGTTTCGTTTTCGGCCTTATTTTGAAATGTGTACAATAACACTTCAGTTTTTTAGTTGTGTGAAACGACCAAAATAAATTTATATCTTATAAATAAATACTTTTACTCATTTTCCCGTAATTTATTTTATCTAGGAAATTATTACCACTTCAAATTTTGAATTGTTTCATTTTCATTGTTATTTTGAAACGCGTGTAAAATGTAAAAGAAACATCAACTCAACTTTTTTCAGTTGTGTTGTGTGAGACCGAAATAAATCTAGTTTCACACATTTCCTCGTAATTTATTTTATCCGAGACCCACATCAAATTTCAAATTGTATCTTTTCTAGCAAAAATAACGTCAAATTGCGTCCTTGAAAGCAGAAACCGGATGTGACGATGATGATCACCAAACTAAGTAGCCAGACAGATCCAGTTACATGGACACGTTTGCTTTCACTGGAAATGAGCCCCATCTTAAATTTCTCATATTACACGGCCATACGCTCGTCCTAAAGAAAAGCAGGTGTCATTTTACTGGGTACACAATCAGTGGCCGCCGAAGCCGTGTGGACATCTGGGGACATTAACATTGTTGGATAGGGGAGGGAGGGGTTTATATAAGATGGGGAGATAATGTGGACATCGAACAAGCGTGGGGACATTGTCTCTCTGTCCCCACGCTTCCGCGGCCACTGGTCTGTCTGCCTGTGTGGTCTGGTCTGGTCATCTTATCCGTCAATTGTATTGTATGTGTCTAGTTAAGTAATAAATTTCCTGAAATGGTGCGCCAAGCTCAATAAATTGAGAATTCAGAAGGAGGTAATTCTGTGAAAAACCTTAGGATGATAGAAGCTCATGAACTTTTTATCGAGTTTTCCTCTCAATTCGAGATGAAGAAGAGGGAAAGCGAGAGAAAGAGTCGCAAAATTCCATATAACAGAAAATACATAGAGTTGTATGCAGTGGCCGCGGAGGCGTGGGGACAAAATAGGGACAATGTCCTCACGCTTGGCATCATCTGTCCATGTTAAATAAACCCCTCATTCCCCTATCCTACAATGGCAATGTCCCCCGATGTCCCCACCGCTTCCGCGGCCACTGGTTGTATGTAGAAATGTAGTGCTGTGTACACAAAGCCGTAAACCTTATCCACTTTCACCTTGAAGTAGTAAAGTAATGGTAATGCGAGGAGCTTTGTAGGTCATTGGGAATCTATGATGGGGCAAAGAAACACTGTGTACTAGGAAGGAGGTAGAGTTGTACTTGTGGTGATGCATGTGAAGGACAGCTAAGAATTTATGGCGTGCCGTTTTTGGCCAGAATTTAAATTTATGCCTTGATACATGAAATGCCATAATTCTATAAAATCTAGGAAATGCCTGGGAATTATTTTCATGCGAAAAATGCTAAATTATTTTAAATTACTTTCATGCGAAAAGTGCCAGGGAATTATTTTTATGTAAAAATCGCAGTGATTAATATTCATACCTAAAATTCCATGAATTTATTTTCAGTCAAAAATTCTCAGAATTAATTCTCATTTCCTAAATTCTCAGCTCAAACTTTCATGTTCAAAATGAAATGCTATGCATTTATTTTCACCAAAAATTCCAGACAGTAATTTCCATACCTAAAATGCTTTGACAATTTATTTTCACGCCCCCGACATTCTACAACTCTAAATACATAAAAGCCCAATATGAACTCGTGAATTGCGCCCAGTCATTTTTATGACTGGATTAAAATCTGTATTTTCTTCTCATTATAAGAAATCCTATTTATGCAATTGTTATTCCATCAATCCGATTCCGTTATATCATATCATTATCGGGAAAGATGTGGGTGGGCAAATCAATGTCAAAATAAGGAGGACTACTTTTCCCGTAAATAATGAATAATTCCAACCCAGGAGACACCCATTAAGGAACGATACATACATTAACTACGTAACCGTAATAAAATCCGTACCAGCCAGCCAGCCAACTATAAATAAATCTCGCCAGGCTGTGTGTGTGTGTCTGCAGTGGCCGCGGACGTGCTCGTGGGGACAGAGGGACAATGTCCCCACGGTTGTTCGATGTCCGCATCATCTGCCCATCTTATATAAACCCCTCTCTCCCCCCATCCTACAATGTTAATGTCCCCACGGCTTCCGCGGCCACTGTATGTGTGTGGGTAACTGAGAATGAATTACGTGGGCGGTAGTGATAATATTCCGCCTAAAAGTAAAGTAAATAAGTTTTATTTCACACACTTTTTCCGCCACCGAGATCCAAGATCAATCTTACTTTACTTATCGGAGAGGAAAGAAAGAAAGAAAGGGAGGAAATCAGACTAGAATATTTACGCAATTTTAGCCAAGAGAAAGCGACAGATCGCCCATAAATGTTTTCATGAAGATGAATTGTCTTGAAATAAAGTTGGGCCGGTATAAACACGGTCTATGTATGTAAATTTGTATCTCTTTTCGTACTTTTTGCAGGTAGCGAATTTGCAAAGAGGTGAATGAAACCAGTGTTTCGGGTAAAAGTAAGTAACCAATTGCAAAAAATCATGGGAAGAAAGTGGTTTCTTGCAGGTAAATATTTTGACCTGCAAGAAATGCAAGGCGCAAGAAACTGCGCCCCGCCGCTATAAATACTTCATACGGCGCGTAACTAGATGGCGCATATTTCTTGCACTTTCTCCCAGTTTCTTGCACCTCGCATTTCTTGCGTGGCTTGGTTTCGAGTGCAAAAAAATTTAGCAAAACCCGCAAGAAACGAAACACTGTAGATATATAAATATCTCTTATCTATCCTCGTATTTTTTTGCAGATAGCGAATTTGCAAAAAAAGTTAAATGAAGCTCTTTAAGAAACATCTTATTGTTTTTGTTCTCTGGGAAATTAAGATCTTTGATTGATCACTCATCCTTGAGTTCGGATTTGGTTTGTATTTCTTTAAATTCTACCGACGTGTAGGTCCCATTAGGTTTTCCGCCTACTTTAAAAAGTTTGCAGACATCGGAGCGTAAAAAAGTAGTTTCTTTTTTATTCATTAGCTATTCTGGGCTCGATTAGTTCTGCGAATGTTTTGTTTATAGGTCAATTTTACTTTACTTTGTCTGGTGGGAAGGAGGTTCCCTTGTTTAAATGTCTGTCCCGTGGTGCAGAAGGGCGAGAAAGGTCAGATTGGGTTGAAGTGGAATATATGAACGTACAAGAACGACGACGAGTGTAATTTGACACAAAGAGAAATATGTAATAGGCTTTACTTTTAAAGTTGCGCGATGGTCAAAGCATGAAAATTTATTCTGAATGAAAATATATGCACTTTAGGCATTAAAAACAGACATTTTGGGCGTAAAAGTAGATTGCAGGCAATTTTAGCACGATAATAAATAGCAAGAGTTTTTGGAATGAAAATTAAAATTGGACACTTTTGCCATGAAAATTTGTACCTGATTGTCGGGACATAAAAATGAATTTCATGCTCGATTCAGATTCGATAATAGTCGACAGGATTTTTAGGTGTAAAAATTAAAATTGGGCACTTTGGGCATGAAAATTACTGTCCATTAGAGACCAGGAACCTTCACCTTGTCTTAATTATTATTTCTCTATCAGATAACCTCTCAGATTTTTTGTCTCTATTTTTTAAACCGACCATAGTGTCTGTGGGCATTAAAATTAATATCGGGCATTTTGTATTTCGCATAAATAGTTTAGCATTTATCATATTTAGCATCAAACTTATGTTTGAAGCATTAATTCAAATGGCACATTAATAAATGGCATGGCATAAATGCCCTCGACATCCGCACCCATACAACCCTAGCCTGGAAACCTTGATAATACGAGACATCCACTAAACGGCGATCATTCATTCATTCAACGACAAGAAATTGGACACGATTGGCAAGCATTTCAAGCAAACAAGGCAATTCGAATCGTCGATACGTATGTTGCACTCGAAATTGTGTGCTGTCAGGTGCACACAATTTGTTTTCCTCGTCTCTCCGTCGTCCGTATGTAGATAAACTTATAGAATTTGGTATTGCATAAAGTTTGCCGGGTTCGCTTCGTGACTGGATGAATAATTCATGACTTTCATGTATTCAGCACAATCAAATGTGTACACGAATCAGATTGCGTAACCATTTTCCGATTTGTCATGTTCAAAGAAATGTTTGATCTGGGTGCAATTCGATGCAATAATATATTTTCGGTGATTTTGGGTTATCATAATATGGAAATTTGGCGTAATTTTAGGAATAAGTGGGGAAAAATGTGGCGTATTTTTTCGAAAAATATGTAGTGATTTTTTTTCAAAAAGTGAGTTTGATCGGGTAAAATTTGATGTATTGAGTGATATTGACGATTTTTTTGGTATCACAAAATGAAAATTTATGGAGAGTTCGAATAATTTTAGAAAAAAAGTTTTGCAATAAAAAATTTACATTGTGAAACTTTGATCTACTTTTAAAAATGCTTGACCTGGGTGCAATTTGATGCAAGCAATAATAGATTGATAATTTTGGAGTTAAAATTGAAATTGACCATAATTTTGAGAAATTACAGTTTCAATTAAAAAAAAATCGTAATTTAAAAAGAAGCCGTAATTTTTTTCTCACCTGTGGGTCACCACTTTCGGAAGCCTGTATGATAGGAAGAGGAAGCTGGAAGCAGTGTTTGGCTGGTGGTGGGGCCGCCGGGATGACCATTCCTTTCACATATTCCTTCAAATCTTGACCACCGTTCACGTTTCGACACACCGACGCCAACGTTTCATATCTCCGGTTGGATTCTTGCGCCTAAAAAAATAGAAAAACGTCATTATTTGGGTCATACGACGACATCGACACGCGCATAGCCATAATTTCCAGTGATTTTCGGGTGAAAAGTAACCACGTGCAAGAAATAATGGGGAGAAAGTGGTTTCTTGCAGGTGAATATTTCGACCTGTAAGAAATGCAACGTGCAAAAAAACTAAGCCCCGGCGCTATACTTCACACGGTGCCTGGCTAGATGACGCACATTTCTCCCAGTTTTTGCACTTCGCATTTGATTTTGCATACAAGAAGCATGGTACAAATCTTAAAACAAGTATGATTTTATCAGAAAATCAAGAAATGTGGATGGGCAGATTAGTATTGTAAGATTTTTAGAATTTTGAGAGATTTCGACGCCATTTTTAAAAATAGAGCGATTTTTTTAAATGCTCAATTAGTACACAGATTCACCTTGACCAGATTCTCGATGGCAAGATTTTTTAGAAATTCGAAAGATAAGAAATAACGGGGAAAAAGTGGTTACTTGCAGGTAAATATTTTGACCTGCAAGAAATGCAAGGTGCGAGAAACTACGCCCCGCCGATATACGGCTAGATGGTGCCTATTTTGCATGCCTGTTCAAAAATTTAGTTTTCATTCAAAATTCAGTCATCCAAATTTCTGACTGAAGACTTTCATTCACATTCACTCATTTTCTTTCGAATTCATTTCACTTCATCCGACTTCGTTTCTTACTTCACCCCATGTATTAAGCATAGGGTGAAAAATGAAGTGAGTGAAAAGTCCTTTCATTCACTGTAATTCATCTGAAATGACGGAATCCTTCGGTCATTTTCATTCACACACATGACAGGAAATTCATTTTCATTCACCGTCATTCATTATCATAATCAGTCAAATGAATGAAGGTGAACAGGTATGATATATCTTGCACTTTCTTGCAGTTTCTTGCACCTCGTATTTCTTGCACTTCTCGCTTTGCTCTGCAAAAAATGTAACAAACTCTCAAAAAAACCTTGATCATTTCCCTGCGTACGTAACCTCATCATCGATGATAGCGTCACCAGTCGCATCGTAAATAATAAATCATGCTGTAGGAATTTTCTTTAGCGAATTTACATTTTCCCTAAAAGGCTCGACTTCTCGACGTTTGTCTCCTGCGGTAAATGAATCATGAATGAAATGAAATAAGTAGTGACTTTCTCCCAGCGTGTTTTTGTGTAAAAATAGCGCAAGGAAAACTTGTTAGAGAGTAGATGTCACATTGACGAAGCTGCGAGCGGAACGTCCCTGGGGGAATGTGCAAATTGGAGAAAGTTGTGGTGGTGGTTTGGGTATGGCAGTAGCCGCGGAAAGGCGGGGACATAGGGACAATGTCCTCACGGTTGTTAAATGTCCGCATCATCCGCCCATGTTACATAAAACCCTCCCTCCCCTATCCTACGATATTAATGTCCCCAAATGTCCCCACGGCTTCCGCGGCCACTGGGTTTGGGTAGGTGAAAGTGAGAGAGATGTGTTGCATGCACGATAAAATGTGATGGCACGAAGGGTCGTGCTTGTATTTTCGCTGAGAGAAAGGGAAGTATCAATCTTCATTTGTTTATTGGACTGTTTGATCAATTACTGTTTTTCTGTTGGGTGAAAAGTGTAGGAGTTTCACGGATCTATTTTGGAAAATTGTTACAAAACCTGATTTGTTGCGGATTTATTGGTGAAAAATAATTTGTTGTGTACGTATTAACAAATTTTTGGGAAATTTAAACCATTATTGAATTTATGAAGTCGTAGGTTTGAGTCAAACTGATTCCTAAATTGAGTAGGAATTTTACAAAATTCTAAAATTTCAGGTTTAATGTTTAAGTCAAACTGAACCTGAAATTGGATCGCAATTTTGCAAAAATTGTTAGAAAATGAGTCTCTTGACGAACTTTTTCTACTTCGAAAATATTATCTTGGGATCATTAATTCAATTAATTTTATACTCAATCAATGTAATTGGATTTTTCTGTAACACGGCTTTAACACGAAAAGGTCTTCCCCTCCCACCTCCCACGCCAGGGAATGACTACATATGTACGTGTATCTATTCTACTCCCAATTACAAGTTCGTGTAATTACTGTCCTACACAAAATAAGTCACAGTTCGAAAATATCTGGACGAAAAAAACAAACAATTAAATCGTCTCTTCAGACAAAAACTTTTCTTTAAGAATAGAGTTGTATGGTGAGAGATCCACTCACAAGGGAGGTTGGCCAGTGTATGCTGTCCAATTTTGATCAAACTAGCGTCAATCGATCATAAATTTAGCTAGGATGAAAATTGCGAAAGACGCGATCTCCCAATGGACACGTTTGGCCGAGATATTTGCATCCGAAGAGGAAAAAACGCGCAGTAAATTTGGAAAGTGTAGAATTTCTCGCCTTTACTGCGCGTTTTTTTCCTCTTGGGATGCAAACATCTCTGCCAAACGTGCCCATTGGGAGATCGTGTCTTTCGCAAATTTCATACTAATTAAATTTGTCATCGATTCACACTAATTTGCTCAAAATCAGAGAGCATACGCTGGGAGATATCCCTTGTTTGTCGCACTTATTTTCATGTCTTTACCACCGTACTACTCTACCCTTACATACTCTCTTAACAAACACAAACTGACACTAATGAAATGATCGTAAGCTAAGCTAACAAGTGAGCAAGAAGCAAAGTCGCATCAACTTGTCGTGTGTAGGATTGTTTTCTCCTCTTGATGAAGTTTGGCTCATTTTTGACTCATCAAACCCAAACTTTTCGTTCCTCCGTTCCATTACCCAACAGTGGCGGCGGAAAGGTGGGGACAAAGGGACAATGTCCTCACAGTTATTCGATGTCTCCATCATCTGCCCATCTTATACAAACCCATCCCTCCCCCATCCTACAAAGTTAATGTCCCCAGATGTCCCCACGCCTTCCGCGGCCACTGTTACCCGACCAATATTAAGATAACAACCGTGGAAGAAGATCTTCTTCTTGAACTACGTAAGGCGAATTTCCGGAGAAAAAGTTTTAATCACGAATAAACTTCCTCGTAGGAGAGGAAATTGAGAAAATTCCACTTGTTTTTCTTATCCAAACAATTGACTTTTTGTTAATCATGAGAAAAAGAAGAAGAAGAGTTAAGTTTCCTGGTATGAAAAGTTTCCACGAGAAGCTAATCACTTTCTCTGAAAATTTCTGCCCTACTTTTAATAATCGTGCAGGTGAAAGTGGAGTACGTGATGAGGATAAGTGCGTTTTTGTTACTAACTTGCGCCAATGTTGTGGTTCAACTATGGAGCAAATTAGAAAATGAGTGAAGCACAAAGGCAGATTATCAACCATGTGAAATTTGTTATCTCAAATTCCCCGAAACTCGAATTTCGAATTTTAAGATATTTCTCACTGGAGAACGTATCCAAAAATTAGTGTGAAAAATAAATGACACAATTGCGTCAATATTATGGCATAAATTAGTAAACGAGTAACGTTTAAATGCAGCTTATCACGTGAATTTTGTATGTCAAGTTCGCATTGAATTTTTAAGATATTTCTCAGTGGAGAAAGTTTTCAAAAAATTAGTGTGCAAAATATACGAAAATTTCTAAATCTTATTGCAAGTAAATGACATACTTGTACCAATGTTATAAGTGCCTCAAAATAAACGAAAATTACCAACGAGTGAAGTATAAAGGTAGCTTATCACGGGAATTTTTTAAATCTCAAATTCACCTTGCCCGAAACACGTATCAAATTTAAGACATTTCTCACTGGAGAAAGTTGTCCAAAATTAATATTCAAAATATTCCAAAATTTCTAAATTTTATTGTTAATAAATAACTATTTTTTAAATATAAAAGTAGAAAAATATTCCACTCACCCTTCCCGACACGATCTCCGACCCCAGGAGGATGGATTCTGACAGCGTGTTGACCAAGTCGACGTACACCTCCTCCAATTCCTGTACAAAAAAGACGACCCATCTTCAACATTAAGAAAGCGGCATACATAACTAACAAAATGGTGGTGGTGAAAGTATGAACGAGCATTAGCATCAGCAGCAGCAGCGTTATTATTACTTGGCAGCCGTGCTTTCTCTTCCACGCTTTCTCTTTTCTACGACATCATTATTTCCTCGGAGCAGCCTCATTTCCTCACTTATAAGACACACACGTCACGTAAATTCCAAATTTGTGCTTGGTGGTGACAAATAGTCCTTTTAACCATTCATGGGATCATGTTGGCCCAATTTGTCAATCTGACATGAATTAAACCCTCCGCGCAGTGGCGGCGGAAGTGTGCGGACAGAGGGACATTGTTCCTAAGAATTTCATAAAATTCATATTCTGCCTATGTTAATAAGCCCTATCTCACAATGTCCCCTCAACTTCCGCCGGCACTGCCCTCCGCGTACCTTTATTCAGGCTAAATTTTTTGTGGGTGGGTGGGTGGTGCAAGCAGCGAGGCGAGCAGTAGCGTGTTACGCAAGAGACAAGATACACCCACTTACGAGGCTATTATAGGTCATGTCGGTCTGCTTCGTGACCTACAAACAATATTTTTTTAAGGAATTGCGCCACTCGAAAGATAATGCAATTATGAATCCGTATTCTACTATTATTAAGTAGAATAGTGGGTGGCACAATTTTTAGTGGAGGTAAGAATAAATGTGTGAGATGTTCGATAACGTGGGTATCGCCACGAGAGAGGGAGATAATGCAATTTATTGTATTATTAGAATAATGGATAGCGCAATTTTTAGTGTTTAGAGACAAGAATAACTTTGCGAGATGGATCGTGGTACGAAAACGTGGGTTGGAACTGTCAGAATAATTGAGAAAGTGGGTAAAAATAGATCAAAACCTGGACCAGAGATGAATTGTGAAAGTGGTGAAAGCGAGTTTTTTCTAGATGGTTGGACGACTTTAATGGCTTGAGACCATTAAAGTGTCATTGATCTGCATACAATTTGTACAAAGATGCTGTTCTATACTTGACTTGAGAGCAAATTATTTTTCGGTAATAATAGATAGTTATTTATTTTCGAAGACTGACGCACATCTGAGAAAGTTTGTGGGTCTGTTTTGTTACAACTTATTAAAATTTACGTGAATAAATTCTCAATATTTCTTGGATTTTCGAAGTATGTAACTAACTATATTTCAGACTATTTTCCAAAAATTGTGTCAATTCTGTGACGATAAAAAATATATAAACTTAAGGTACAAAAAAATTAAGCATCTTATTTAAAAAGTTATGATTTTAAGAAAGATGTAAGGTCAGAAAAATACACATTTTGGAAATTTTTTTATATTTTTTTAAATTCCTCAATATTTCAAAAAATACATATCCGTCCTACGCTAATAAATGCAGCATCCCTTAAAATGAATCCTCAAAAATTGCGGATCGAATTAACAAAAATAACGATTTGAAGAAATATTGTCAAAAAAAATTTTATGCACATTAAAAAAATAGTTTTTACGTTTTTTAGAAAAAAATACTTTCTGAATTTTTCCAAGCCTGCATATCCGTCCTACGCTAATATTTAAATGAAGCATCCCTACCGACAGGATTATTATTTCAGATAGAAGTTGCCCGTTAAGAGGCCGCATAACTCATTTTTGACACACTCCATCAGCCTGTATAATCGATGAATCGCTTCATTTACCTCGCGATTCGTGCTTTTCATTCACCCAGCTTTGGCTGTCTCTTTGATAATACGCGTATTATAAAGCCATTATTATTCCCGAATTTGAAATACCGTTCCGTTCCCGGAGAAAAAGAGAAAGTCGAACGTAATGAGGCCTGAGCAAACGTGGCTGTACATAAATTTGACATGTGAGTAATTGGCTGGTAAACCAAGTGCGACATGTCCTCCTCCCACGGCTTAAGGTGCCCAGGTAAAAAAAAAACTAATTCCGACATAACGCCTCCATTAATTGAGAAAGTTGGGTTAGTAATAAAGTAATGTGGAGTAGAGGATGTAATGAAGTAGCGGAAACTGGGTTATTGTGACCTGCGACCTTTTGACCTTCAAAGTTGCCTGACTAATTGAATCCGGAAATAGAATTAAAATTTTTAAAATAATTAACTATCTACTTAAAATCTTCAAATTATTTTTTTTAATTTTAAGCAGCAGAAGGCAGCATATTCTGACCTATGAACTATTGTCGTGACCTTTTGACCTCAACGAATTCCCGCTTACTTTAAAAATAAGATATCCGGAAACAGAGTTTAACTTTCTAAAATAATAAATTCCCTGAAATCTTCGAATTATTTTAGCAAATTGCATCAACAGAAGTTACAGAATTGTTAAATTAGCATATTATGACCTATGACCTGTCCCGTGACCTTTAGAACTACAAGATCACCTTACAAGCTTCCTTCTGCTTAAGAAAGTTCAAATATCGGAAACCAGAAATTTTAAAAAAGGTGAGTGCCATCTTGCTCAGAGATGGACGGACAGACAAATCGATCACAAAAAGTACCCTTCCCCTAAATAATAATGGTAATCGCAGCAAACCTAAGGGTAGATGTCCCACTAAATTACGAAGGTAATTTGCACGTGCAGTTTTCCCTTAGAAATAATTTTCCATCCAGCTCACCTGGAGCAGAGCGGGCAAGGTCTCGTTGTGGTATTCCCGATACATGGCATTAGTTCCCTTCAATTGCTGAACGTAAGCGTTATGGGCGTCATAATAATTAGCCAGCGTTGCATTGTTTCCACCCTGAATGTGCTGCAGACACGCGTCGTTGTAGTCCCGGTATGCCTGAGAGAAAGCAAAGAGAAAGTTAGCGAGTTTCTTAATGGGTTCTTGAAAAAATGGGGAATTTTCACATTTTTTCGAAGATAGGTAAGTAATGTACTTCTTTATAAGTTCTTTAAAAAAATATCCCATTTTTTGCATTTTTTAGTAGATACGTGATATACAACTTACACTGGCCAACAAGGACTCTGCTTTACTGAGGACAGTCTCGAAACTCTCACGATGTGCGAAAACTTTCCTGGATTGAATTTTTAAACAAAACGTCTTCTCCAGGAGGGGCCTTGCTATCTGGAAAGACAGAAAATACAAACAATTAGGATGTATTCAATTGTGATAATCCGGTATAATCCGATCCGACCGTTTTCTGTAACATGGATCCGATCCGATTTTCAAATTTTATCCCTATTATACTGATGGTCGGATTAAAAAAAACGATCGGATCTACTGATGAACACTAATCAGGCGGGAATTTGATGGTTTTTCCATCTTGAGCCAAGCTTTTAAACTCGCTTAGCTATCGGCTAAATACGAATAATTCCCCCCCCCCCCTAAATTATAATGAAACACAAGTTCCCCCGTCGTTTCCACGAAGTCTTTTGATTTAAGGTACACATTTCTAGCATGACAGGTTTGTGCCATTTGTATCTGACATTATTCGAAATCATGAATCAGCACATGCAATAAAATTTGATTATTTAGTTCCTCACATCTTTGCGACCTTTGACATATCTATGAAGCGTTACGTTATTTGTTCTAGCTCATAAATTTCCAAGCGATTCGCAGCACGTGGTACGCAAAAAAGGTAAAAAAATCAATGCTGCCGTCCAGATTAATAAGCATATCCGACTCCTTTGCCATTTCATTTTCCTAGAAATTTTCCTCCATTCAGAACTTTCTCCTCTGAAAGATCAGCGATGAGATAACGCATATACATGCATACGAGTTGCACTGTGTATGCAGTGGCCGCGGAAGCGTGTGTGGACAGAGGGACAATGTCCCCAAGGTTGTTCGACATCCGCATCATCTGTGCACCTTATATAAACCTCCCCCTCCCCTATCCTGCATTATTAATGTCCCCCGATGTCCCCACGGCTTTCGCGGCCACTGGAAGAATTCAGGCTACTCAAATGTATGCACATGATGCAGTGGCCGCGGAAGCGTTGAAACATAGGGACAATGTCCCCACGGTTATTCGATGTCCGCATTATCTCCCCATGTTAAATATCTTATCCTACAATGTTAATGTCCCCCGATGTCCCCACGGCTTCCGCGGCCACTGTGTGCATGTACATACATACATACATACACGATCTGCCTGCACATGAATTGATCTGCCTGCCTGCCTACCTGATTACCATTTCTATCATCGCGTAATGATACTACCAGCACACGTACGGATCGTATCGATTCCGGTTTTCTTGGTATTTCAGTCAGGATATGGCAAATTCAATCTCTGGACAGCAGCAGTTCGTATATGATGTGCTTTCTCTCAATGATCTCATCTCTCCTCAGCCCATGGTTTACGTGTGTACGTACATCACACGTGATTTTTATTGCTTTCAATAAAATAATTTTGTGCCTGATTTATGTTCTCTCTTTGTATCGGGTTGTGTCTTGTCTCTGAAGTTTCGATAAGATAACACAGGGAAATCGTGTGCTGGGTAGCGTGGTGGGTGGAACAAAACAAGTGTTTCTATGAGGCCAGCATTATTGCGTTGGACGTTTGGCATGGTTTATACGTATCTGCACTCTTAGAAAACTGGTATTAAATCGTTACTGACCGGAGTAAATATATGACTCTACCGGCACTGGCAATAACGGGCATTACCGTTTAGCAATGTTGTGGCAATGAATAATTTACCACGGAGGAACGAACCACTACTAAGGAAGTTATTACCAAATCAATACCAGTAAACGGAATGTATATCTGACTACCATATTTTTAAGCGTATAAAATCCTAGAAAACTGGTATTAAATCATTACTGACCGGAGTGCATATTTATATGACTACCGGCCCTGATAATAATGAGCATTACATTGTTTAGTCACGTTATGGTAATGAAAAATTTACCACACAGAAACAAACTATCTACTACCAATCCGGTAGGAAGTTATTACCAAATCAATGCAAGTACAGGGTATATATGTGACTCTGCAGTCTTAGAAATCTGGTATTAAATCATTACTGACGGGAGTACATGGGTCTACCATCAAGGACGTACATAATAACGGGCATTACCTTTTAGAATGTTGTGCTGGGGAAAAATTTACCACTCAGAAACAAACTATTACCAATGCGGTAGGAAGTTATTACCAAATCAATACAAGTATATATGCGACTCTACCAGAATTTTAACAGTGTACGTACGATGATGATTTCTTGGGTGGAGAGAAAATGGGAGGTGAAGGTTAAACGTGGCTGCGAAATTGGACAGGTAATAGATTTCAAGTGCTCCATCTTATTGGCATTTTCTTCCCAACTACTCAATATTGGCGTTCGCCTTTCGCCTTTCTCTCCTCGTGGGCGAAATTGCATGCTGCCTTTCATTTCTTTGGGAGAAAGTTGAAAGCTACGGATGGATTTAATTCTTCTTGGAAAAGGCTATTATTTTGGGCATGCTTGGCTTGCATATCGTGTAAAAAGGGAAACAAAAGCGGAAGGGTTTGAAAAGAAAAGAAAAATATTTCCTAGAAATTTAAATTTCTTGGTATTTCGAATAAAAGTATTTCGTTAATTTGAATTTCTTAGTATTTTGGAGAAAAGTATTTTGTTGAGATTTAAATTTTTTGGTATTTCGAAGAAAAGTATTTCGTAGAAATTGAAATTTTTTGGTATTTCGAAGAAAAATATTTCGTATTTTTTGTACACATTATGTTAAATAGATTTTGTAGTCTTGTTAGTTACCTGTCGTCCGAATGAACCGGAAATGTCGGAATGGACCTGCGAATCTATTTCGACCTCTTGTAACAACGTTTCCCAAATCTGGAATAGAGCACTGCTTCCGGGTGGTCTGCAATATTAAAAACAAACCATTTTTTGAGTATTTTTATAAATTAGTAGCGTTGTGCTTATGCTGATGATTACGGAATTTAGCCATTTATATAGAATGTCCATATTTAAACTTATTTTTTATTATAAGCCCAATTTTAGAATAAATTCCCGGGAATTTATTATAACGCGCGAGAAGCGTGAAATTTATTTTCATGCCCAAAATGCCAGAAATTTATTTTCAAATCGAAAATTCCAGACAGTCGGAAATTTATTTAGAAATATAGTACGCCGAATTGACCTCCCGTTTAAATTGATGCAACCCACCATAACACCAAAGTTACAATAAATGGCGTGCCCAAAATGCCTGGAATTACGTACATGAAAAGTGTCACATACATAAATACCCCACACACAAACAGCTTAATATTTTCAGACACGTGTATAGATTTTTGATACAAAATAAGCTCCTCTTACCTATACTAATTCCGATTGGACGATAAGTACAAAAAGTGGGACAAATATAAGTGGATAAATCCTCATTTACAGATTACGTCTACATAAGTAGTCTGATCTAACCACAAGAAAGAGAGAAAGTAGAGACCCACCAAGCAAAACCAGACAAAAAGTGGTTTGTTATATGCCCATTAATGCCCGCACTTTGTCTCCGTCCTGATTATTCGCCTTTGTTGTGCGAGGACGCGGGGACAAAAGAAGATAATAATTCCGACTTCATTTTCCTCGTCATGCGTCCATACATACATAATCCGGAACCGTATCTAATCCTTTTTTCCCCTCTGTAATATCGCATATGCACACAGACGACCTTAATTAGTGTTTATTAAGTGGGAGTAAAGCACACAAAGAGCGTATTTATGTACTTGTTGGGAGAAGAAGATAAGAAGTATAAGCTGGAAGAAGGGGAAGAAGGAGTTATGTATGTGGTTACCCGATAAGCATGGAGACAAATTGGTAAAAATCTGGTATCGGTAAAAATTTTGTTCTGGGAAAAATATGATACTGGTAAAATCTGGTATTGGTAAAAATCTGGTATTGGTAAAAATGATAAAAGCGTGACCAAACTTGGTCTAAATGAAGATGTGTCCACGGAAGAAATGGTATGTTTCTAATAATAGAGATTTCCCAGTGTATGCTCTCCGAATTTGAGCAAAATTAGTGTCACTCTATGACAAATTTAATTAGTATGAAATTTGCGAAAGACACGATCTGCCAATAGGTACGTTTGACAAAGATGTTTGCATCCGAAGAGGAGAAAACGCGCGGTAAATTTGGAAAGTATAAAATTTGTCATCATAGGACACGTTTTTTCCTCCTTCATTTTGTTAAATCATTTTAGAATGATCAAATATTTGATTGATTTATTTATTCTAATGTTGTTGTTTAACGTCGTTTAAATTATTTCAAGTATATTTAATTCATTTTAGTTTACAAGTTAGATACAAAATGGGTGATGCAATTCGGATAAAACATTTTGGACAATTAGTATGTTCGAATTCATTTAAAAATCCAAATTTCAAAACATTTCAAAATATCCATTTTGCAAAAGCCACCATCTCCAAATTCACAGGTTTGGCAGAGATATTTGCATCCAAATCGCCCTAAAGTCGACAAATTTTGCACTTTCCAAATTTGCTGCGCGTTTTCTCCTCTTCGGATGCAAATATCTCGGCCAAACGTGCCCATTGGGAGATCGTGTCTTTCACAAATTTCATACTAATTAAACTTGTCATCGATTGACACTAATTTGCTCATAATCTGAGAGCATATGCTAAGAAGTCGACCAAACTGTTTATCGGGTGGTCTTCATTCAGAAGTAAAATTCATACAAAAAAGAAGAAGACGAAGGAGAGAAGAGGATGAAATGAAGTGAAAGCAGACGACAGTTTCGTGTCGTATCTTTCTCCACCCTTCCAGCCTTTATCTCGCGATAAGCTCACCACTTTGTTTTCCATTTACTTTGTCGATGTCTTTTTCCTCTATTCATTATTCACGGCTTATGGGTTACATACATATCTCTTTTTTGCGACAGGTTCTCAGTTGATTTGGCTGTCTGTCTATGCCATCCGGTTTTTTGTGTCCATTCATTTTTTCCACGTAATGAGAGACGAGGATTCAAATAAAATAAGGTAATGACAGAATGTAAAAATTTAAACCGAGTAAAAATTTGAACCGGTTCCCTGCAGGAATTAGGCCGAATTTTGGGTAGAAATTTGCCATCATTTTCTGCAGAGCGACTTGTGCAAAGAGATTTATGCAGAAAACTAATTTGATCGGGTTTCTTGCATCAATTTGACCCCATTTCTGCAGAAATCTGCCCTCATTTCCTGCAGAAAAATTTTATGCAGAGTCATTTTTACAGAAACATTTTATGCAGTGATTTATGCAGAAAACTAATTTGAACTGGTTTCTTGTATAAATTTACCCGATTTTTATGAAGAAATTCGTCATAGTTTCGTGTAGAAAACTTTATACAGAGCAATTTGTGCAGAAAATTGTGCAGAATTATGCTCAAATAGTTCCGTAAAATCAACCCGATTAAAACTTTGCGCAGGATTATGCACCGAAAATTATGCAGAATATAATATGCATCGAGGTTTTGTCGATTACTGCAGAATTCGATACAGTGATTTCTACTCGGATAAGTTTTTTTGCAGGTATGCATTTCTCCACATGTCTAATTGGCTACTGTGCACAAAATCTGCAGAATTGTGTTCATTGAAGTCACAACAAAGGGGAAATGTGTGCATTATAATGATGGATGGCTGGCTTGGTAAGGTAAAAGTCGGGACAATGGGTTCTGAGTGCGGTCATCCATCGTTAAGCTGACTCCGCAATTCTGAACGTGTTTTTGGTGAAAGCGACCGACTGGAAAGAATGGGATGCATGCACACAGTGCAGGATTTCGTAATCAATCCGTACATTGAGGTTATCGATTAGAAGGTGGACAAGGCACCAATTTTCTTTCGGGTGCAAAAAATAAGGGGGAGAAAGTGGTTTCTTTCAGGTAAATATTTTGACCTGGGAGAAATGCAAGGCGGGAGAAACTATGCCGCGCCGCTATAAATACTTCAAACGGCGAGCGGGAAGAGGGCGCATATTTCGTGCACTTTGTCACAGTTTCTTACACTCCGGATTTCTTGCGTAGCTTGCTTTGCAGTGCAAGAAATGTGGTAAACCCGCAAGAAACTAAAGACTGGGAAGTAACCATTTTCAAGAAATAACGGGAAGAAAGTGGTTTCTTGCAAGTAAATATTTTGACCTGTGAGAAATGCGAGGCGCTATAAACTGCTCCCTGCATTTCATATGGCGCGTGGCTAGATGGCGCACATTTCTGTCACTTTCTCCCAGTTTCTTGCACCTCGAATTTCGCGCGTTTCTTGCTTTTCACCACAAGAAATGTATGTAGCAAACCCTCAAGAGGCGCAACACTGCCAATTTTATGATGATACCGCTAAAATATGGAGCGAATATTATATAGAGTCCAGGAAATCGAGAAAATTTGCACAAAGGATCCCCTTATAGTTTGGCCACACATAAAGTGACACGATTGGAATTTTTTGTACACACGGACAATACGAAATTGTCAACAAATGTCCATTAGGACGATACACATTTGGCAAATTGGGTGGAGTTGGTGGCAGCATCGGAATGATGAAAGGGAAGCCGTGTAGCGAGATCCATTTTCGTCAATCCTTTTAAAAAATGTTAGGGCCATCGAATCCTGATAAACTGTGTGATGTGGTATCATATTTTTATCATATTAGTATTTCTGAGAGGCCGCACATGTCGAATAATAACCAGAGGGCGGATATGTATTTAGGAAAAAAAATCGCTGAAATGTGTATTTAATATTTACAAAAAAAAGACAAAATGTGCACGAAAAATGTAGCAACAAAACGCCAACAATAAGAATTTTCACAAAATTTGTATATTTTGAATATTAGATACTTGGACTATTACGAATTTCCTTGACCAAAAAAATTTCGAACCCACAAAGTTTGACCTTCGGTCATCATAAAATAAATGCATATCCGCCCTCAGCTTATGAGAGAAAGTCATAAATGTTTTGTAACCCAATTTCCTCAAACAAAAAATTTCGTTCGAATTACATCTTTGAAGTACCGATTTTACAAAATATGTTTTTTTTAATAATACTGGAAATATTTAATGCCTGAAAACATAGAATTTCGTGATCTACTCTACACGAGTTAGGGAACACAACCACAAAGTTTGACCTTCGGTCGTCATAAAATGTTAAAAAAAACTTGAAAATAAATACATATCCGCCTTCTGAACTGAATATGAGTGAAAGTACCAGGAAAAACCAACCACCCACTCTGTCGCCTGTTTACTTACTTGTCCTCGCCCATCTGCCTCGACATTCCATGGGAATTTCCTACATAAACATGAACATCCGATTTGTCTAGCGAAACCCACTCTCAACTCCTCCACACATTCCCGAAACTGGGCACGTTCAACTTTCTCCAATATCCGGAGATTCCCTGGACTGACAAATATTAGCAATTTTGTAGTGTATTTCGTGAAATGGATTCATACTGAGGGATAAATTGCTTAATTTTAAGAGGGAGGAAAATCCCATCCCACGTAGGAGCACAAATTTGAAAATAAAGGTCAGTCTGCTGCAGTAATTTCCTGCATGCAGCGACATAATCTAATCGTGTCGATCGAGCAATTTTCGCAGATCTGTATCGACCTTTTCATGCACTATTTTATGATAACACTTGAGTAAAGATTACATCTCTGTCACGTACGTATGACGTCTCATCTCTTTGAGGGGAATATGTGAGGGAGGAAAAATTTCATAGGTCGGTGAGAAAGCAAGTGGTGGCTGGAGAAAGTTTGCTTATTGTTAGGTAGATCTGAAAGGCATGCACAATTTTGGATGCAAGGAGGAAAAGTAAGTTTTATGTCTCGATAAGACAGCTATTAACAGCTGACAGCCAACAATTAATTATAGGGACAGAGGGACAATGTCCCCACGCTTATTCAATGTACCCATAATCCCCCCATGTTATGTATATAACCCCGCCCTCCCTTATCCTTTAATGTTAATGTCCCCAGATGTTCCCCCCAATTTCCGCGGCCACTGTGGAAGATATTTGCATAACGCACAAAAATAATTAGTTTAATGATGAATTGCATCGAAATTTGACGTGAGTTGATCAAACTTATTAAAATCTGCGGCTTAATTTAAAGTGTGATTGTTAAAAATTATGAAAACCACGAAAACAAAAACTATCACAAGAAAATCCAATTTTGATAATTTTTTTATTTCCTTGCTCTATGATAGTTTCTTAGCCATATATTTACAATTTAATTTATTTGAAGTTTCTACTATTTTTGAAAACTTTCATTATTTCTTAACATTTCTCCACTATATGCCCCCACCAAATATTTTTTATCATAAAATTCGTTGGTCCTTAAATTTTCCAAGCTACATAACCTTTTATGTATTTAAAAATCAACGCAGAACTTTATTTTTTCACTGGCGTCAAAGTCAGACAAGAGAAAATTGTGTTAATTACTGTAAATAAGATTTTACGAAAACTTGTTAATTTTCACCCACCCAATTTTCTTTCTACTCGAACCATAAAAATGTTACGCACCCCGTTATTTGGCCATTTTTCAGGTGTACCTACTCCCATGTGGCATGATAGCACGGCATGAACATCACTTTCTCCTCGAGGATGATTTATATCTTCGCGTGATACAAAGTATTTGAAGTTAAGGGTCTGGAAGAAAGTGAAAGTGGTGCGGTTTTCACTGGCTCGTAAAATAAAGGAGGAGGAGGAGGAAAAATAAGTAAAAGTAAGCATGAGATTAGATTAATGTCCGCGTTTAATGCAGACTTTAGCCCACCGTTCATTGCTCACTCAACCCACGAAGCGTCAGACCTGCTTTCTCCCCCTTTTTAGGCATTAGATAAGGTTAAGGTTGATTTAGTTTCGGGGCGGGTTTTTTAGTGCAAGGGAGGATCAGTGACCGTGGAAGTGTGAGGGCAGAGGGGGACTATATGTCCCAATGGGTATTTAGATTTCGGCTTCGTTTCCACGGCCACTGGAAGAATTCAGGCTACTCAGATTGTACGTACATGATGCAGTAGCCGCGGAAGCGTGGGGACAAAGGGACAATGTCCGCATCATCTGCCCTTCTTATATAAACCCATCCCTCCCATATCCTGCAATGTTAATGTCCCCACGACTTCCACGGCCACTGATTACATACATACAACGCGAAATTAACAGGTAGAATATCTGATATTACATTCCAGTGGCCGCGGAAGTGTTCTTGGGGACAGAGGACCAATTTCCCAAAGGTTATTGGATTTCTCCGTCATATTATATGAACCCATCCCTCCCTTATCCAATGTTAATGTCCCCCGATGTCCTCACAGCTTCCGCGGCCACTGCGGAGTACATGTTGTGTGTGGTTTGTCGGTTTTTCAGACAAGACAACCGGTGAAAGTTCTCATAAATTAGGGAGAAAGAGACGGTTTTTATAGTGGTTTGTCTTCCCATGAAAAAGTGTGGCTTTCTTTTTAGCATGGCCCACCTTCTTGTCTACATACGTAATGGGTGTCAAGGGCCAAGTTCAATGTTCTCGTTGGGATATAATATTTACGTAACGGTGTGACACAATGATTGGTGGGGAAAAAATAGAAAAACTTTGTATGGAAAAATTGTGTTATTCTAACAATGGGGGTCTCTCAGCGTATGCGATTCGATTTTGGGTAAAATAGTCAATGGATTACAAATTTAAGTAGTATGAAATTTGCGAAAGACACGATCTCCCAATGGGCACGTTTGGCAGAGATATTTGCATCCGAAGAGGAGAAAACGCGCCCTAAAGTTGACAAATGCTACACTTTCCAAGTTTACTGGGCGTTTTCTCCTCTTCGGATGCAAATATCTCTGCCAAACGTGCCCATTGGGAGATCGTGTCGTTCTCAAATTTCATTCTAATAAAATTTGTCGAAGATTCCCACTAATTTGCTCAAAATCGGGGAGCATAAGCTGGGACACCTCCCTTGTCAGGTGAAGAAGTTTTGCAGGGAAATTGAATTTATGCGATCTTGTTTTCGTCCAGGTTCAATGTTCCCGTCAAATAAATACGTAACCGTGTCAAAATATATGCTTGTAATTCGTGACAAAAAATGAAATTTGTTGCGCAACAAAATGAGATGAATATAGCATATTTTACGAAGTTTTTCAGGCTTATTGAATTTATAAGGCGTATACGTAGGAACTTTTGGTCGGGGCTGGATTGATGATAAGGGCGACGATATGACGACGAGGAGGAAATGAGATTTTCCACGGACAAATTTAATCCCCACCTACGTTACGTGTGCATGCCCACCTTAAACACAGTGGCCGCGGAGGGTGAGGACAGAGGGGGACAATGTTCCCAGGGTTGTTCGATGTCCGCATCATCTTCCCATTTTATATAAACCTGTCTCCCCCCATCCTACAATGTTAATGTCCTCACGGCTTCCGCGGCGGCCACTGGAAGAGTTCAGGCAACTCAAATGTATGTACATGATGCAGTGGCCGCGGAAGCTTGAGGGGACAATGTCCCCACGGTTGTCCAATGTCCGCATCATGTCCCCATGTGATATAAACCCCTCTCTCCCCTATCCTACAATTTTAATGTCCCCCAATGTCCCCACAGCTTCCGCGGCCACTGCTTAAAGACCTTGTACCTCGACACATCATCATCATCATCATTATTTTACATATCTCCCTCTCAACTCATACATGTGTCCCCCCTAATTTTAATTCCTTCTAAAATATGAGACCGACCAAAGTGTAAGAGGCTTGCTTTCTTCCGGCCAATTTAAAATGGCAATTTCTCTCCGTAAACATCATTCCCCATTTGAAATAAGTTTCTTTACAGGGTTTAGATTTCTGAGGAAATATAATGTAAGCCGCTTGTCATACATGTCGACATCATTAACATTAATAAAGCTACGTAGAAGCTCCGTTTGATGATGATGATGATGCTGTTGCTACTTAATTTCTCTCTCCGTGAAGTTTAAATCTTCTGGTTGAAGAGAGAACTTAATCTTTTCTCCTAATGAAAATAGTTTTTGATGTTGAACACCAATTCGGGACTTTGAAACGTCAAAGTAAATTAGGGAGGGATTCAAATTAGGTGGAAAATATGGGATTCTTTGATTTGCCGTGTACTTATCAATTAATGATGAATAGTGAAATATACTTAGCAATTTATGGTGAATATTCCCGTGTGTTATGTTATCATTTGACGATGAATAATATTCTGTGCAGACCAAAATTGTCGAATTTTGATAGCGTATTTACGAACCCTAAAGTCTTCCACACAGTTTTCTTAAAATGCTGTACACGTGGCGTTGGTGAGGGAAATTTGGTGTTAAAAACATAATTTTCACCAATTCGGGAGTACTTTGGAACGTTAAAGTAAAGTAATGAAGGATGAAAATACTTAATTCTTTTATTTGCCTTGTACTTATTAATTGATGATGAATATTGCTATGTACTTATCAATTCGTGGTGAATATTCTTGTGTACTTATCATTTGATGATGAATAATGTTTCCTGCAGATAAGCATTGTCCGTATTTTAGTACAGTGTATTTAAGTATGAAACCAACACCACCACCGGATAGTCATTTTTTATTCTGTGCACGTGGCGTTAGTAGGTAGCGAAATTTTGGTGATGGGCTATGTAACCAACACTCTGGTTCATCATCATTTCCCGTGATGATGGCATGCACAATGGTCGAGCTTTCTCTACTTTCTCTCTGGAGAAACATGTTAAGGAAAGATTAGCACACTTAGCACTCAGCCCGAGCAATATCCTCAATCTGCTATCGGACACGATGCTGAATACGGAATTTGGGTGGATTTGTGCAAAGTTTGCGTAAATAAGAGGAGGACGAGGAGGATAGTTTGCTAGAGTTCTTATCAAGATGTAGAGTTGTACAATGGGCATGTACGTGATGGGAGGCATTTTGAGCATGAAAGTTAATTTGTGGCATTATGGGTATGAAAATAAATTCATGACATTTTAGTCATGAAAATAAATACTGGACATTTTAGATATGAAAATAAATGCCCAGAATTTTAGACAAAATTAACTTAATAATTTAATTAGTATAAAATTATTATAAAATTAATGTTTAATCCGGAATTTTGGGTATAAAAATCATTCACCAGTATTTTGGACGTGCCGTAAAACGTTAGAATTTATTGTAACATTGGCGTTATGCGGGCATTCATTTAAAAACCGGGTAAATATGACATGCCCAAAATGCAGATGATTAAGTGTAACACCCAAAAATTCTGGGAATAAATTTTCATTCTAAAAATTCCTGGCACAAATTCTCATGATAAAAATTCCGGGCACAAATTTCCATGTCATAAATTCCCGGCACAAATTTCCATGCCATAAATGCCCTGGACATCTTGTCGCGTCCAACTCTTACCCCGAACCCCAGCCAGCCTTGCATTTCGACTAGACTGCAATAATCAACACAATAACAACGACAACCACCCTTAATGGGCACCGTATCGTCTAATAATCCGCTCAATCCGATATCTATCTCATTCGTCCTGGTCTAATGATTACTAAATAACATTAACAAACTATGTCCCAAGCAGAATAATTAATTCCCAAACTTACTTTTCCTTCCGCAACTCGGCATTCCGCTTTCTGAAATTTTCCACCAGCATTTGCAACTGGACAGCGTGCTGCTCATGAAGCTGTGAAAGTTGTTGGGTGAAGTCGGACACTGCAATAAAAACGGGAAATGAATGACTTCATAAACATCAATCCTTATAAAAAAGGGACGAGACGGAAGAGAAAACAAGGCAAAAAGTGGGTATGTTTCAGAACAGTGGCCGCGGAAATGTGGGGGGAGCAGAGGGACAATGTTCCCACGGTTATTCGACCTCTTCATCATCTCCCCATCTTATATAAACCCCTCCCTCCCCCACCCTACAATGGAAATGGCCCCAGATTTCCCCACGGCTTCCGCGGCCACTGTCCCACCAACGCTGGACGGAGGAGAAAGAACTTGACTTGAATTATTTTCACTTTAATTGTAATTGTCCAATTTCATGTAGGATGTAACATTTCAGACGTTGAGTTGAGAGAACCCAGAAAATAAGGGAACAAAGAAAGTAGTGAAAGTAGGAAGACATAAGTTTATTAGAAAGCTTATAGATACATTCGAGCTTTCTTTTTCTTTCCTGGTTGGAAATTTGCTGCTTGAAGATCAGTGTTTCGGGTGAAAGTAACCACTTGCAAGAAATAGTGGGGAGAAAGTGGTTTCTTGCAGATAAATATTTTAACCTGCAAGACATGCAAGGCGCAAGAAACTACGCCGCGCCACGATACTTCATACGGCGCGTGGCTAGATCGCGCACATTTCTCGTACTTTCTCCCATTTTCTTGCACCTCGTATTTCTTTCTGGGTGCAAGAAGCATTGTACAAATCATAAAAAGAAGTATGCTTTTTACCAGAAAATTAAGAAAACGTGGATGGACACATTATGGATACGAGACGACGCATTTGCATATTTTTAGAATTATATGATTATTACTTTCCGTGGATTATAAGATTTTTAGAATTTTGAGATATTTCGACGTCATTTTAAAAAATTTAGGATTTTATTAAATCTAAATTACTATGCAGATTCGTTTTCCTCTTGTTGTTTTTCGAAAATTCTAAAGATTGTTTAGAATTTTGAAAGAAAAGAAATAATGGGAAGAAAGTGGTTTCGTGCAGGTAAATATTTTGACCTTGGAGAAATGCAAGGCGCAAGAAACTACGCCCGCCGTTATAAATACTTCATACGGCGCGTGGCTAGATTGCGCGCATTTCTTGCACTTTCTCCCAGTTTCTTGCACCTCGCATTTCTTGTTTTGCACTGCAAAAAAATAGCAGCCCCCTCAGAAACGAAACCCTGTTTTTGAGGATGACATTGTCAGAAGAGAAACAATCTGAAATTCCAAAAATACCGAGAGTGTGTCCAACTATAAAAAATGTTGGCGCTGGTTTGCCCGACATGAACGATGAATGTATGTACATAAATAAATATGTACTCTTACATACATACATTCGTACATATGAAGTAGGAGGAGGAGACATGTTGCATGACCTTGTTTCGATTTTTTTTTAATCCGGAGCAAAGACAACCAGTGGCAGACAGAAGTAGTTTTTGAATTTCGAGATGACTAAGACTGCAGTGTAATTGGTAACATTCTCATCTGTCCCAATGACAACTTGTTATTGTTGCTCGAATTGAAGAATTAAAGCAAAATTTGCTTTCACCAAGTAAATTCTTGAAATATTTTTAAAATATACTCAATATTACCCATTTTTGCTCAAGTTGAAAATATAGATTCAGTCCTTATTTTATCAACAGAATTTGTAAATTGATGAAATATTTTGCAAATACAAATTTTGCTCGAGCTAAAAAATAAGGCAAAACTCAACTTTTTCCAATTTAATTTTGAATTTGACAAAATATTTTGAAAAGAAAGATTTTGTTGGATTAAAAATTGAGGCAAACTTTGGTTCTTTTTTCAACAGAATTTGTCACAAATAACATGTTAATATCACGTGTCACGTAAGTTATATTAAACAGGTTCCCTTAACAGTTTAGAAAAATGTGTCTCAAATTTTTCAACATTTGGGTCAAACTATTCCAAAATTGAGACGACTATTGTACTGGATGTACAACTGAATGTATGCATCTGACATTTTGAGTTGAGTGTTCAAATTGAATGAGGAATTTGTGAGGTTGACATTCGTTAATTTAATTTGTGTCATCAGTTCCCAAATACCAAAACCATTTGCATCCTGCCAGCCAACCCAACCAGTGGCCCCGAAAGCTGTGGGGACATCGGGGGACATTAACATTGTGGAATGGGGGAGGGAGGGGTTTATAAAACATGATGCGAACATCGTATAACCCTGGGGACATTATCACACTTCCGCGGCCACTGCATCATATTCGTACATTTTAGCCTGAATTCTCCCAGTGACCACGGAAGCCGTGGGGACATTAACATTGTAGGATAAGGGAGGAATGGGTATATATAATTAACATGGGCAGATGATGCGGACATCGAACAACCCTGGAGACGTTGCCCCTCTGTCCCCATACACCCTTCCGCGGCCACTGAACGCTCCCATTTGAACAAGACATACAAAAGGTTGACATTGTCTTGAGCAGCATTTTAGATAATACGTTCGTCCATAAATCGAGAAAAGAAGAGGACACGACAAGGCTGACCTTTTCAAAAATAAGCAATAAATATAAATACATGAATAATTCTGCTTGTTGGATATATTCAGGGTCAATTTTTCACTCATACGTAAAATTGGCACTCTTGGACGATGTTATAAGTATTGATTTTTATTTGGTTGGTTGGGTTTGTGTGCATGTTTGCCCTTACATTTTTAATTTTTTGCCTCTATGGTACAAAGGCAGGTACAAGATATTTTGAGTATGTAACTCGTATGAAAATTGTGTGCAAAATTTTGCATAAATTGTCTGCAGAATAATTTCTGCAGGAAAAGCTTGCATGATTCTGCAAAAAGACTCTGTCGATTTGTTCGGCATAAAAGTAATTATGTGCAGAATTTTGCATAGGAATATTTGCATCAAAAACTGCAAATAAGTTCTGTCGAGCCTATTCTGCATAATATTTTGTGCCCAAATACATAATTATGCATAGTTTACATGAGCCTATCGCTCTGCATAGCTTTTGTGCCGAAACTTTTACAGGAAATTTTCGTATGGGAAGAGACAACCCTACGGCCTTGGATATTAATAGGAAGAAAACAGAATTTATTTCGCAAGTGTGTTGCCCTAAATGAGTAAAATGAGCATCATTTCATCGCCGAGATGGGATAATATTCCCTCCGGCGCGGTGTGTCAGGTCAGATATAATTAATAGCGGCTCAACAAATTGAGGTCGTGGAGGAGGTGAAAATTCTCGGGTGAAAGCGTGGGTGAAAGTAGGAAATATAGTCGAGTTGAGACCAGTTGCCTCGGAAAGGCCTGGGGAGGGGAAGGGGTTATAAATATACAGTCTTACAAAACTGGTATTAAATCATTACCGACCGGAGGACATATATTACCAACCGACACTGATTATAACAAACCAATCACAGTTTAGTAATGTTGTGGTAATGATGAATTTACCACTCAGAGACAATTTACTACCAATCCGGTAGGGATTTATTACCAAATCAATACCAGTACGGAGTAAATATGTGACTCTACCAGGTTTTTAACAGTGTATACAAGGGTTTATGGACAGATGATGGATGGATGGGGACATTTAACAGTAGTGGGGACATTGTCCCTCTGTCCCCACCACCCTTCCGCGGCCACTGGTTGAGATGGATATAAATTCTACACAACTTTTCGAGTAGGATGCAACATCACAGTTACGAATGAACGAAATGAGAAATATTTACATGGATGGGTGACACAACTTCATACTTGAGTTGTGCATATACTGATATTTAAATTTATACCAAAAAATGCAGACATTTAATTTCATTCGTTGTTATGCTCCAGGGAAAGTTTTTTTACCAAAAAGTGCACCATGTTTGTTATTCAAGTTATTGCATAATTTGACATTATTTTTGTTTAGTTTTGTCCCAAGTTTATACATATTTAGACTAAAGGACGCATAAGTATTAAGAGATGAAATACCCGTCAAATTTGAATATTCTCACATTTTACACTGCATTTTAAAGAAACAGATGCACCTTTTACGTGGTACAGGACGTCGTCGGAATGATAAACGCTGTAGTAAAACGTAATGATGGTACGCAGTGGCCGCGGAAGTCGTGGGGGGACATCTGGGGACATTAACATTGTAGGATAGGCGAAGGGAGGGGTTTATATAACATGGGGAGATGATGCCGACATCGAATAACTGTGGGGACATTGTCCCTCTGTCCCCACCCATGCTTATACTGATACTGATACGTATCTCGAATGGCTAATTTTTACGCATCCTGCGCCTCGTACCAGGACGACATTCCACTCGTCATAAATTAAGAAAAAGTGTAAACTGCACTTTTTTCCTGGGCGTCCTCTTTCTTGGCATGATTATCTGCGTTATTATGGATGGATGAATGCCTGCGTTTGTTATCATAACACGGGCTGGATGGTTGAGAGATAAGATAAATATAAATTGGCACGTGGCGTCGTGGTCGCGATACATGCTCACATTTTTTCATGGACTTTTCAGCCCAGTTGTGTTGTTTTTTTATGCAAGTTTACATTTTTGAAGAACTGATAAAAAAACCGGTGGAAACCAGAACTAAAAGAATTTGTTGTCCAATACGCAATTTTGTGGAAAATGTAATCTTCACCCCAGGGTCAATTTACATAAACGTCATGATTTTTGCACTTTTGTACATTAATTTATTTGCAAAAACCTTGAATTTGAACCTTCCCAATTATTCCCATGATTCGCAATAATTTTGTATTCTAGTCACAAATGAAGACTTATTTGCTAATTAATCCAGATTAAGAACCGTGTTTCTCGTTCCCATTTTGATGTCGAAATTCCGAACCCAAGAACCAATCCGAGATCCAATCCAACCCACACCTCGAGTGTAAACCCAACCTACCAACAAATAGGCACATGTCAGAAGGACACGAGTTTGACAACTTTCTCGTTCGGAGTTAAAGATCGAAATGAATTTAGACAAGAGTCACATAGGGGAATGGGATGGATAAGCCTGTGGCAGTTATC